TTTTTGTGAATATATCAAGTTAACTATATTGCGTGAAAATTAAAATGCAGTGTTATATTTTGTGTTTTATGTTATATTGGTAAAACATGCAAGAAAAGAACATTTGTAAGCAACTATTGTGTAAGAAAGTTTTAAAAAGCAATCAAACCCCCTCTGTGGCTCAGTGGTAAGAGCGCCTACCTTTGAACCTAAAGGTCGTGAGTTCGAATCCCACCTGGGTGGAAATTTTCGTTTATTAAAAATTAATAAATGAAAATAATTTCTATCCTTGTGCGATCGGTACTCACCAGAGGGACCGCAGACGTTCGGATACAATTAGCGTCTCTTAGCAAAGACAATGACGTCAACTTTGCTAAGTATCAAGACAATTACTCTACACACACACACACTACCCTAGGTACCTGACTGTACCATGCCAATGATCATAGTTGTCGAGGCATTAACTCAATAATAATAATAAAAAAAAGCAATCAGGTAATAGATGTAACAAATCTGTTCACCATCAGTCAAAAAAGCATTAGAAGATGAAGTAGCAGGCATGAAAATAAATGGCCTACCCATACGTGAAATTGGATATGCTGATATAAAACTAATAGCAGAAAATATTACAGATCTACACTACCGAGCATAAAATTAGGGTCACACCGGAATTTGAATTTATTTTAGAATTTTTACTAATGGATTTCTTGAAAAAAAAAATGTTCTTGTTGTTGTTTCGACAAGCGTCAAGCTTGTCAAGCTCGACAAGCGTCAAGCGACAAAAGTTTTTGTTTCTATGGTTTTAACGTCAATTGTAAATTGTTTGTGTATTGTTATCACTGTCAGTGTATTGCAATGAGCATAAATTCTGTTGTGGCGGCAAGCATTGTGGGGGCGTTATAATGTATTTTTATGTATGAAAGAGTAATAAAACAATAAATTATGTATGCAAATCCCTAAACTGTTGATACGGGTGACTCAATGAAAAACAGATATTTGTCAACAAGTTTACAGAAGTATATAGGAAAACAATTTTAAATTAAGTATGACCACCAGGTATAAAGGTTGGAGCAGAATAGAATAAAATAGTTGTGAGGGTTACTAATCCCTAAATAAGGTTGCCAGTGTCGGAGTGATGGAGGTTAATAGGTACTAATGAATTTGCAGGAAATGTAAGATGTTTATTTTATTGGTTATATATAACCAATAAAAGTTTAATAAGTACCTACCTATTTGCAAAATAAAGTTTAATTCTTTAGATAAAATAAAACGTTTTATTTTATCTGAAATGAGTGCATTCCACGAAGTAAGGGTTTCAACAATCAAACATTTAATTCTTTAATTCCAGGAATCTACGACAGTAATTGACTAGATAATTACCTTCTAAACTTATTCCACAGAAAATGTGATAGTGGGTTTTTCCATTTTGTAGGAAGGTCCAAGTGGCGTATTCAAAATTCTTAACAGTTCACTAAAAGTAGGTACTTCAGTTGCAAGGTGCAGTTTATTGTGTATACTAGTGTTATGGAAAATTTGGAAGTGCCGTGTAAACGCCGAAAAATTGGTCCTTTAACAGTTAATGAAAAAACATGAATATTTAATTGTTTTAAATCATTTAAAGACAAACGTTTATGTGAAAGTGTTGATTAGACCGTTGAGTTAGTTAGCAGTACACTTGGTGTTGGGAAATCTACGATTTACAGAGTTATTAAAGAAGAGAAATGTGGTAGTTTTCAAATGCCACGTATTGCTCCAGGGAAATCAAAATTTCAAATAGAATATCATTTTAAAGGAGGACTTCGACGGAAAGTGCATGAATTCTTCTTTAGACAAGAATTTCCAACATTGGATAAAGTTCTTGTCTCAGTTTGAGATGATAAGGATTACCCAGAAATGAGTCGAAGTACGTTATGGAAACTTTTAAAAGAAATAGGCTTCCGCTGGAAAAAGAATCCCAGAAAGTCTATTTTATTAGAAAGAAGCGATATTGTCATATGGAGAAGACATTTTCTAAGAACCATAAAGGAAATGAGAAACCAAAAAAGAAAAATATTTTATCTTGATGAAACATGGATCAACGAGGGTCATACACCAAATAAATTTTGGCAGGATGAAACTGTTACAAGTCAAAGGCACGCTTTTGTAAATAACTTATCTACTGGTTTAAACCCACCATCAGGAAAGGGACGCAGGCTGATAATAGTACACATTGGCAGTTCAGACGGTTACGTTGAAGGTAGTTTATTAACTTTTGAATCAACTCGTACCGGTGACTACCATGAAGACATGAACGCTGATGTCTTTCAAGAATGGTTCGAACAAATGATAGATCTTCTTCCTAAGAACTGTGTAATAGTAATGGATAATGCATGTTATCACTCCAGACTTATAGAAGGACTGCCCACAACCAAGTGGTTAAAAAAAGACTTGCAGAATTGGCTGAGTTCAAAAAATATTACGTACCATCCCGGATCTATAAGAAAGGAACTTTATTCGTTGTGTGCCCTTCATAAAGAAAAATTTAAAAAATACGAAATTGATGAAATTGCCAAAAATCGTGGAATGACAGTACTTAGATCCCCACCATATCATTGTGAATTAAACCCGATTGAACTGGTATGGGCACAGATAAACAGTGAAGTTTCAAGAAAAAATACCACTTTTAAAATTCATGATGTTAAACAATTGTTTTTGGAGGCCGTAAATAATGTACAACCTGAAAACTGGGAAAAGGCAGTAAATCACACTATTAAAGAAGAGGAAAAAATGTGGAATCTGGACAATATTACTGATAGAATGATCGAGCCAGTTATTATAAATCTTGGTTCTGAAAGTTCATCTTCTGAATCTGATTTGTATTTGTAACAAGTAGCTGTAAGTTTTATATTAATATTTTTATTCATCTATTTAACATACCTTAGACGGTTTTAAAAACTCTTTTTCTCTTTTGTAATTTTTAAAAATTAAAAAAAATGTGAATTTTTTAAAACCCTTTTTAATATAGGCCAGTCAGTTCTAATATAGTGGGTGATAAAAGAGGTCACTTTTGTTTACATACACATAACACTTTATAACACTGAAATAATTCATTTATTTTTTACAATTATTCAAAGTAATTTTTCAATTAATCTTGAGCACGCCCATGGAGTGGTCGAAGATACCAGTTAAAATTATGCTAATTACTCTCTCGTTCATAAAAATAAACTATAGAAGATGGCCACGATCAGCGCGAAACTGTGAGAAACGTTGGTGTAAGTCTCTCGAGAGTGCATCGAGTATGGCAACGGTACGAAGAGATCGATCTGCTTACGCGAAGACCTGGTTCAGGTCGAGGCAGGATTACAACAGCTAGAGATGACCGCTTTTTCGTATCTAGTGCTTTGAGAAACCGAACTGTCACGGCAGTTTCATCACGGCAAGAAGTAAGAAATGTAAACATAAGTGAATGGACAGTTATGAGACGACTTCATGCTGCTGGTTTATCTTCTCGAACTACAGTAACTGGACCGCCCTTTCCCGTGAACACCGAATTGCCAGATTTAATTTTGCACGAGAACACTTGGCTTGGACAATGCAGGACTGGAGTCGTGTATTGTTTTCCGATGAATCGAGATTCTGTCTTACGGGCTCAGACAAACGTGTAAGAATCCACTAGGAAACTAAGTTCCTGTAGCTGGCTGTATACCATATATCACAAAAAATTTATTTCAAATCCTTTATAAAAGGTATATAATAAAATGCCCAAACGGGCTATCACAATTACATTACAAAACGTTTTCGGATTGTTAAATCTATCATCAGTGTAAACCTGAAAGTAAATAAAAGGTATACATGCTATGAGCCACCAAAATTTTGGCAATTTGGTTTTGACCCATATATTTTGGTGGCTTATAGCATGTATACCTTTTATTTACTTTCAAGTTTACACTGATGATGGATTTAACAATCCGAAAACGTTTTGTAATGTAATTGTGATAGCCCGTTTGGGCATTTTATTATATACCTTTTATAAAAGATTTGAAATAAAAACGTATAAGAGTGTGGTGACGTCCAGGCGAGAAATATGCTCAAGCATGTGTTGCGGAGCGTCTTCCATTTGGCGGAGGGTCAGTTATGGCATGGGAAGGCATATTATTTGATGCTTGTACGGAATTAGTCTTTATCGAGAATGGGACATTGACAGCGCATAGGTATCTGACACAGATTCTGGAAGACCATGTCTTACCGTTTATGGTTATTCTTGGAGACGACGCAACATTTATGCATGATAATGCACGTCCCCATACTGCTAGGATAGTTGCTGATTATCTTGACGAGGTTCAAATCACACGATTTGTTTGGCCTGCTCGCAGTCCAGATATGAATCCCATAGAACATGTTTGGGATGAGATGAAGAGACGTTTACGGAGTCATGTGCCGGCCCCCAGAAATTCGAGGGAGCTTCGAGACATACTGCTGCAAGAATGGAATAGTCTTCCGCAGAATGTGATCCCAAATCTGATCCAAAGCATGCCTCGTCGTTTGCAAGCTGTTATCACTGCCAGAGGAGGGAATGCTCGCTAGTGAAGTTCTAAATTTTTTTTCAACAAAAAGCACATCAAATTAAAATTGTCCCTTTTTAATATTTAGTATATTAAAGGAAAATTCTTCATTTCCATTATTTTTAATAAACTTTACACGATAAAAACGTTGTTTTCTTTAAGCAATCCGTTAGTAAACTATCTTACAACCGAAAATAGGTAAAACAGAATAATAATTTCTAAAATAAATTCAAATTACAGGGTGACCCTAATTTTATGCTCGGTAGTGTACAAAGAATTTTAGATAAGTTTGTTGCAGCAAGTGAAGAGTTTGGTTTGTCATTAAACAGAGAGAAAACAAAATTCATGGTTATATCAAAGAAAAATATTAGATACATAAATCTACTGTCTGATCACCATTAGTCAAAAAAAAATGTTAAAAAGAATACAAAATATAAAAATAAAAAATATAAAATACAATAAAAATGATGCACTACTTACTTTAATGGGGTATGCCCCATAAGACAACTGTGCCAAACACAGTACAGCTAAAGCAATAATTGCCTTCTGCATCTTAATATTTTAATACTTTGAAAAATAACCTTACTGAATACTGGTTAATGTTAGACTGGATCGTAGAATTAGTTTAAATAATAATTTTTTTATTAATTAAGATTAAAATCTTATCATAGAATTTGAATGCATTTCCTATTTCCTTAAAAAATTATAAAAAAAATAGTAATGCCTTAATAGATTTCATCAAATTAAATAATAATTATGATAAGAAAAATTGATTTTAAATAGAACGACAAAAGGGTGTTAACCGATAAGCCTGATTAACAAAAAACTTAAGAATAATGCACAAATTAGAACAATTAGATATAGAGAATTCTTAAGAAATATTAATCTACCATAAAGTAACATTTCATTACCTTACTAAAATATAGGGTGTTTCATTTGAGAAAATTTAGAAAATACTCATCCTAAGTTAAATATTATGTTTATATGGCATTAAGCTATATAAGCATATGGCTATGACACAAATAAATTAAATCAGAGAATGAAAATCATAAAACAGTGCTCACTTCGGCGGTACATATACTAAAATTGGAACGTTACAGAGAAGATTATCATGGCCCCTGCGCAAGGATGACACGCAAAATCGTGAAGCGTTCCACATTTTTCTTCAGGACGGACGGTAAAAATTCTAGCCCAGGACCTGACGAAATATCTTATGCATTCCTTAAAAATCTTCCAGCAAATGCTAAACAATACCTTCTGGATATCTATAATATGTTATTCTATACGAAACAATTCCGAAAATCTTGGAAAGTAGCAATTGTAATTTCTGTTTTAAAACCTAATGAAATAGAGAGGGATCCAAATTCGTATCGACCTATATCTTTAACATCCACATTGTGCAAACTAATAGAAAAAATACTTAACAAACGCCTGCAATACTTCCTGGAATCCAATAATTTAATATGCAACCAATAAAGCGGATTTAGGAAAAACAGATGTACAACGGACAACTTGATTAAATTAGAATCGATCATACACTAGGCATTTGCAAGTTTTCGTCAAGTACTGGCCGTCTTCGTTGATATAGTAAAAGCCTACAATACTGTGTGGAAGTATGATGTCCTAAAAAGATTAAAACAATGGGGTGTGGACGGAAATCTTCTAGCTTTTATCAAAAATTTTGTTTATGATAGAAATTTTAGAATTAAACTTACTAATCATTTGTTCATATACCCAAGATAACGGAACTCCCCAAGGATCAACACTTAGTGTAACACTTTTCTTGATTGCAATGAATGAAGTTGTTGATAACATTAATACTCCTGTCCAAATTGGTTTATACGCCGATGACCTTGTTCTTTATGTAGGCAATAAAAATAGCCAGATAGCTGCAACTATTCTGCAAGAGTCCATCAAATCTTTAGAAAAGTGGTCAGAGAGAACAAGTCTTGGTTTTCCAAGTTGGCCAAAATTAACACTATATATTCAAAATTAGCGGTATGTAGAAGAACATCGATTTTTGGAAATGATATTAGATACAAAACTCACTTGGAAACCCCACATTCAACAACTTAAAAAATCTTTATAGTTAAAGATAGTTTATTAAAGCAATTGGACATCATACAAAATACCGCATTAAGGCTTGCACTTGGAGCCTAAGGACCAGTCTAGTAGAAGGTCTTTATGTAGAAGCTGATGAACCACCCCTTTCAATTAGAAGACACAGACAAAGTCTACAATATGCAGCTAAAATTGGAGCAAACTCTAATAACCCTGCTTACTCCTACAAATTTTCTGGCAATTTTCATTTAATTTTTGAACAAAAACCCTTATTTTCTGCATCATTTAGTAAAAGAATCACAGGTTTCAACTTCCCGAAAGTTATTTCCAATGAAATAAACTACCCTTCATGGACTACCTATCCTTGGACCATAAAACTCCCCTCATGTAATACAAATCTATCACTGTATCCTAAATCTGATACTTCATCACATATAATTCTACAACGGTTTCAAGCGATTAAAGACAAGTACAAAAGATATTACCAAATATATAAAGATGCGTCAAAAACTTCTGAAATGGAAACGGTAGGCGCAGCTTTTGTTGACGAAACAATTAAACATCAGTTCCAGCTACCTAACGAGTACTCCATATATTTCGTTAAATTGTATGTCATATCTAAAACCCTACAACATATATCAAACCAGCCCAAATTGGAAGCAGTCATTTTCACACATTCTTTAAGCGCATTACAAGGAATATTAAGGGTTTACCCAAACCACCCAATACTATGCCAAATTAAAGTTGATCTAGAAGAACTTTACAGTAAGAATAAAAGGGTAGAATTTGTTTGGATTTCATCTCATGTAGGCATAATAGGTAATGAAAAAGCTGATCGGGAAGCTAAAAAGCCTGCTATACGAATAGACCAGATAAAGAGCTCCTAGAAATTCCTCATTCCGACATTCAAAACAACATCAAAGAATTTTCAATGAGGATATGGCTCAAAAGATGGAAAAAACTTGACAAGAAACAACAAGGCATCAACCCAAATTTGTCACCAAAAGGGGTAATGCCCCAAACATGATCAGATCAAGCCATACGATACCGCTTAAGAATAGGACATACCAGGTTAACCCACTAGTAGCTAATGAAGAAAGAACAACAAAAACTGTGCTGTTTGTGATATTCCTCTTACAATCGAACACAATATTGTTAGTTGCTCACTCTATCACCTGGAACGACTTCAAAGTGGTTTACCAAGTGATCTGAAAAGTACTCTGAAATATAGTAAATGTTATAAAGTGACTAAGTTTCTAAAACTAACTAAATTGTACAATCTAATATAAAAATGGACTTAAGTTATCCATTGTAAATAGTAGTTATAAGCAAACATCTCATTTTATGTACAACTCTTTCCCGCCAATAAATCGTTTTATGGTTGACGCGGTTTACTTAATAAAAAAAAATCATAAAACAGAGACTCATCAAGTAAAACCAAATGAGCTGATCTTTTTTGTTTTTTTTTTTTAATTAAATAATACAATTCGTATGATTTTTAGTATAAAAACACATGTATATTTTTCTAAATTTTTATTTTTTTACTAAATGTAAAAAAAATGTGTCCATTCAAAAGGACATCAGGATCGCATCAATACAAAATTATTGTAAATGAAATTGTTTAAAGCAATTATTATTTTCCGCCAAACATAAAAATATGTCACATAATTCACAATACATTTTTCTTTTACCCTTACATCTAAGTGTACACCTACATTGGAACCGTATTTCTCCCGATCCGATATCTGGCGACGTCGGCCGACGTCGGATTAAAAACAAACTCAAGGTATTAAATCAGAGTGCCTATACTGCTTCGTCATGAAACTAATTTCATATCATACCATTGAACTATGTTAAGTTTTTCATCAGATATTATATCTTGCTCAGAACTGAAGTACAACATGAACCACTAAGACAAGTTCTAATAAAGAAAAATATAGACAGCCGAGATATTCGAATTATATGCAATCTATATTGGAATCAAACAGCAAATGTCAAGGTTGAGGGCAGACTAACAGAAGAAATTCAAATCCGTCGAGGAGTCCGGCAGGGATGTATCTTATCGCCACTTTTATTTAATCTGTATAGTGAAGCTATCTGTGAACAAGCACTCGAGGAAGAAGATCTTGGTCTGATAATAAATGGTGAGACGATCAACAATATAAGGTATGCTGATGATACAGTTCTCCTAACGGGAACACTAGTAGAACTACAACATCTCGTTCAAAGTCTCAATATATACTGTAACAGTTACGGCTTGAAAATTAATTTGAAAAAAACTAAATTTATGGTAATCACGAAATCAAAGAACATCAGAGCTAATCTTGTAATAGACAATACAACGATTGAGCGTGTGCCCTGTTATAAATATCTAGGTGCTTGGATCACAGACGATACTGATCAAACAAAAGAGATTAAATGTAGAATAGAAATCGCTAGATCAGTCTTTAATAGAATGCGCAAACTCTTTTGCAATCGTGATATCAATATAAAGTTACGAATACGAATGCTGCGGTGTTATATCTTTTCTACCCTGTTATATGGAGTTGAGGCTTGGACACTAAAACAGTTGACTATAAAAAACATCGAAGCTTTCGAGATGTGGTGCTATAGGCGCATTCTCAGAATGTCATGGATGGACCGCGTCACTAACACTCAAGTACTCCAAACTTTAGACAAAAGATGCGAAATTCTAAATGAGATAAAAACTAGAAAGATGGAATACTTGGGGTATATTGTGAGAGGTGAAAAGTACGAACTTTTAAGAAACATCATGCAGGGCAAAATCAAGGGCAAAAGAAGTGTGGGAAGAAGAAAAATATCGTGGCTTCGTAATCTACGTGAATGGTTCGGGTGTAGTTCGATTGAACTTTTTAGGCGCGCTGCTAACAAAGTCGCAGTGGCCATGATGATATTTCCAATCTCCGCTAGGAGTGGCACGAGAAGAAGAAGAAGAATATCGTTTACTTTTGTTGTCTCAACCCAAAATATTTTAATTAGTGGATACTTTAGACAGAGCATTAGAATAGTTACTTCTCAGACATTCCTCAGATAAAAATTTTTACCTCAGTTAGGGTTCAAAGGTTTTCCATTTGGTTGCAGAAATTTAATATTTGTACAATTACATATATTCTAAAAATCTGAATCTGGTAATGAAATACGTATTATTATACTTATACTAATACATATACTGAATATGTAACTATATAATATATGTGTATAATTTAAATAATCGTTTTTTGTTTTTTGTTTAAGGTTTCCCCTGCCTCATCCCTTCAACAAAGCTTTCGACAAATTCCAGAAGATAATAGTGCTTAAAAGCCTTCGACCTGACAAAGTGACTAACGCCATCCAAGACTTCCTAGCAGAAAATCTAGGACAACAGTTCATAGAACCCCAGACATCTGATTTATCTGCCATGTTTAAGGAATCAGGATCTACTATACCCTTAATATTTGTTCTGTCTACTGGCACTGATCCAGCAGCGGAGCTGTACAAGTTTGCTGATAGGATGAAAATGGGAAAGAGAATGTTTTCGATATCGTTGGGACAAGGTCAGGGGCCCAGGGCAGAGAAGATGATGCAAGGCGGTGTTGAAGTTGGATCATGGGTGTTCTTTCAGGTATGTAAATAGACCAAAAATAATAATCTTTTTAAAATGTTTTTTTTTCTTTCTTGTTCCCAAGGCCATTCTTAATCCAAACTCAGAGTCACTTATGTCTATTTCACAATTTTTATAAATTTGATTCTGTATGATCTTTAAGAACATTTTTAGTAAGTAACTTTCATTAAGCTAACGAGCCTAAATTCGTCGCATTTATTGTAAATACTGTTTTTCGTACTTTTCTTTTGTCTTTTGGGGTAATAAAGATTGAACTTTTTCAAAATATCTGGTGGTGTTCTGTAGATATATACATATGTCCAAACGTTTGAAATATTGGAATATTTCATATTTTGATTGATTTTTATATATAAACTCTTCTGAATAGTTAAACATTATTTTGTTTCAATTCTCAACAACACTAAATAAATTTCAAAACAAGATAAACGATATGCAAAAAAATTATTTATTCTCTTGGAATGAAAAACTTACAATGAACAACTTACATTTAAAAATAAATTAGTATAGCAAAAAAATAATTTTTAATAAAACTAATAATTAGTATTTCCTTCATTGGCCTGTATGCATGTCTGTAGGCGATTTGGTATGCTGCCGATTAACTGGTCGAGCTGGGCTTGCGGATTTCTCTCCCATTCTCCACGAGCAGCAACTTTTTTTTTCTCGAAGTGTAATAGGGGGATTGTTTCGCTTCTTGATGCGTGTTTTGAAAATGTCCCAAGCATGTTCAATAACGTTTATGTCGGAGAAATTCGAGAGCCACTGTAATGAAAATATGCCTTCTTCTTTCAGAAAATTTTGTACCTACTGCTGCTGTTCGATGAAAAGGTGCGTTGTCATGCATAAACACAAAATTATCACCTAATGCCCCTCGGAATAGACGTACGACAAGATTTAAAACTGTCTCAATGCACACAGCACCAATGACTCTTCTCTCCAGAACCAGCAGTGGCGTCCGTATAACACGTACCCGTGTATAATACAACCTCAAACCATAATACTGCCACCTTCAAATGGGACACGCGGTTGGGCTGTGTCTAGTCGAGTTTGTCGTCCTGGGGCCCTCTAAACCAGTGTTAATCAGATACCAAGACAATTTTTGACTCATTAGAGAACATCACGGTATTTCAATTAGAACCATGATGCACCATTTCTCTATCCTATAGCAACCTTACTATTATGTGTTGGTAGGTTAGTTTAGGAACACGTAGCCGTCTTCTACAATACAAATTTACCATATTTAGTGTGCGTGTTATTGTTTGCCGTGAAATATTCAGTCCTTGAAACCTAAAAATTTCTCTGGAGATACCACTTGTAGATTCTAGACCAGGGGTGTTCAAACGGTCGATCGCGAGTGCTTTTTGGGTAGATCTCGAGAAGAAAAAAATTTTAATAAGTAGGTAGGTAAGTAAACTACTGTCAGCAGAGTTAAACGTTTTTATTAATACTGAACTATACAAATACATAGAATGCTTGACTAAGCATCATTGCAATTCAAAAAAGTGGAGACAACAAAATACTGTCCACACAGCATATTTTATATTTACACATATTAACTAATTATTTTATTAATTCAATATTTATTATAATTATTAATCAAATTTGGAATGATATTCTGTCAACTACAAAAATGTATTACGTAATAAAATAACACTGCTTGCGGCAAAAGGTGGCTTTATCAAAGGAACGCGCGGCACTTGTCAAAGAAAAGCCGTGTTGTTTCTAGACGAGAGACAGTACAGTCTAGTTTCAGGCGGCGCGTTTGACGGGAACATTCGAGACTTTCGTTCACGCCAATATAAATGTTGCGCCTGCAGGAATTGGAATTATTCTGAATTGTAACTTGATAGCGATCCTACGTCGATACAAAGTTTATTATTAAATAGTGGAAAATGAGTGCAGTGAAGAAATCTAAAACGTATCATTTTAATAAGGATTGGGAGGAAAAATTTTTCTTTTCTATGGTGAAGGATAATTGCATTTGTGTTATTTGTCGTGCGTCAGTTGCAATACCTAAGCGTGGTAACTGAAAGAGGCATCATAAAACGGTTCATAAAAACTATGAAAAGGATTTTTCGCCACAGAGTGAATTAAGAAAACGAAAAGTAAGTGATTTAATATCTTGTTTGAAAAAAGAACAATCCATGTTCACAAGACCAGCCAAACAGTCAAAAGCTGCTACGATCGCGTCATTTAAAATATCTCATATTTTAGCGAAACACAAGAAACCATTTAAAGATGGATCGGTGGTGAAGGAAGCATTTATTAAAGCGGGTGAGACTTTATTTGGAGATTTTAAAAATAAAACAGAAATCATGTCTGCTATTAGAGAACTTCAGTTATCTCGTCCGACTGTCACAAGGCGTATTGAAGTCATGAGTCAAGACATCGCAGATAAACTAAAACATGATATCATGGAATGGACATACTTTTCTTTGCAGTTCAACGAATCCATCGATATGACAGACACTGCCCAGCTGTGTATTTTTATTCGGATGGTATTCAATGACATGTTGGCTAAGGAAGAATTTTTGACAATCATTCCTCTGAAGGGGAAGACCCGTGGCGAAGATATATATGACGTTTTCTTAAATTATGTAAAAATACTACGAGCTACCAATATATAAATTAATGTGCATTACAACCGATGGAGCACCAGCAATGACTGGAAATAAAAACGGTTTTGTGGCATTGTGTCGAGCTAATGAAGAATTCCCCTTATTTTTTTTCATTCCATTGCATTATGCATCAATAAGTTTTTTGTTCAAAAGTTTTAAACACGGAGGAAATTATGGGCATTGCAACAAAAATTGTGAATTTCATCCGTGCATGTAGCTTGCACCGGCGGCTCTTTCAGTTGCAATTGGAAGATAGGGAGTCAGCTGAACACACTGATTTAGTTCTTCACACGGACGTCAGGTGGTTGAGTCGCGGAAAATTCCTAGAAAGGTTTTAAGAATTATTGCCCGAAATAACAGCTTTTCTAGATGAAAGAGGTGATGACACTCAGATTTTGAAAAACGAAAAATGGCTAAATGATTTGGCATTTTTGACTGACATCACAATGCACTTAAACACCGTTAACTTGGAGTTTCAAGTTAAAGGAAAAGCTATTATTGAGATGATTAGCGCAGTAAACGCATTCAAAAGTAAATTGCAACTTATGATAGATCAACTGAAAAGAAAGGATCTGAAACATTTTCCGTCTTTGAAAGCAAGGATTCCTCAGTTGAATTATGATACGTATGAGGCTGAATTATCAAATATTTTGGGACAATTCGAAATGCGTTTTTATGATTGCAGTAAATTGGAAAATATAGTATCATTAATGAGTTATCCTTTTTCATGTAAAAACATTGAGGAATTAGCTACTGAAATAGCAAGTCAGTTTAATTTGAACTCATGATCTGTTGAAAAAGAGTTGGTGCAGATTATAGCAGATATACATCTCAAAGCTACAGTATCTGATACAAATTTCTGGCGTTTTATATCTGAAGATAAATATCTGAATGTAAGGCAAATCGCCCTTTAACTGACGGCATTTTTTGGGTCAACTTACTTGTGCGAGTCTGCATTTTCTGAAATGAAGATAATTAAGTCAAAATATCGCAATCGACTAACTGACGATCATATGACATCATCCTTGCGATTAGCACTCAGTGGTTACGTACCATCTTATGAAAAGTATGCTGAGGACATGCAGTGCCACGCTTCAACATCCAAAGCCATTCCGTAGTGAAGTTTAACACCATAGGTAACTCTTTTTTTTTGTAACAACAAATAAACTCGCAATTTTGAATAACTATGAGTTTTTTCATTGATATTGTAGAGAAGAACCTAACTAAAGCTAACCCAAACCTTGACTAAAATAATGTACCTATATTGTGCAGAAAGCTAATATCTATATATGCTACGGTACGCCCTACCTAGGTAGGTAGGGTGTATCGTGTATGTACGACAACCCTGCATCACACACACTTGCAGTCTCTCAGAGTCGATCATAAGTAGTCTAAAAATATTGAGGTAGATCGCCAGCAGTTCAAGTTTGAGCACTCCTGTTCTAGACGATTTCCAGATTTCCATCGACTTCTACCACTTCTGGGACGATCCTTGACGTCTCAGAAGATCTTGTATCTTGGATTTTTTTTAATTGTCGATTTAACAATCAGTAACATCAACAATATTCGCGATATAACTTCACGCGTGTAAATACGCTAATCAGTTGAATGTTACAAAATCATACAAAAACGATTCAAATTTTTTATTATTTTCATTTAAAATCGCTCTAGAATGAATATCAACAACGGCTTTAAAACCACCATAGGCATATATATATATATATATATATATATATATATATATATATATATATATATATATATATATATATATATATATATATATATATATGTATATATATATATATATATATATATATATATATATATATATATATATATATATATATATATATATATATACAAAGTCGGAAACTGGCGACCGTACGATGCGAAGAGACCAAGAGGAAGACCTCAAATGCGCTGGAGCAACGATATCAAAAGAGTCGCAGGACCAATGTGGAAACGCCTAGCACACAACAGGGATGAATGGCGAGAAATGGGAGAGGCCTTTATTCGACAATTCGGATAGAAAAAGGGCTATAAAAAAAAGTATATTTATATATATATATATATATATATATATATATATATATATTATTTGTACGTATTCCAAACTTTTGGACATGTGTGTATATTATGTGTACACACTTTGAAACTATTAATCTGTCAATCGACCAGAGCATGCTATAAAATTTAAAATCATAAATTCGAAAACCAGTTGAATCTATGAATTTAGAATCAGAAATGTTGAATCAGAAAAATTTTCAATAAGTGGATTAACAAACTTATGGTTCTATAATTAGCACAGGCTTTTGCTGTTTTCTTTTTAGGTAGAGCTCTAAACAGTGAATTAAACCAACCATTAGGTAGTTGTCCGCTGGTATAAATGGTATTTAAAAACGAAGTTATAGCCTCTAAAACATTGCTATCATTTATAAGCTTATATATTTCAGTTGTAATTTCATTAGGACCAGTGGCTCTGTCATCTTTTGATGATTGTGTGGCTTTTATAACCTCAGAGCGTGTTATTAGGGGTCCGTCGCAGTTAGTAACATCAGGAGGTGAACTATATTTATCGTCTTGGAATAGTTTCGTGATGTTATTTTCCCATTCTATAAGTTTGTCCTCTACTTCAAATAGTATTTTACCATTTTCATCCTGTAGCAATGCAGTTTGTTTCTTATTGAAGATACCAGCTGCTTCTTTACCCTTTTTTATACATGTTAAAAGTGTCGTATATTTTTTCAAGTTCTTCAATGTCATGACACTGTTTGGCTAGATGTTGACTCTTTGCTTCTCCTGTTTCACGTCGAATTTCTTTTTGTATGCTGTTGTAAAGTGTTTCGTTGTTTTTCGCTAGTCGCTGTTGTTCCATCAAATTGAATATGTCATCTATCATCCAAGCCTGCTTTTTTAGTTTTGACCTAGCTTGTAAATTTCTCACACATATTTCTTTTATTGTTCTTATTGTATTCTATTCGATCTTATTTAAGCCCTCATCGACGTTTTCAGCAATATTTTCCCAAATTAAATTTTCGTTCAGTTGTCTTTGAACTGATTCCTTAACTTTCTCATCTTGTAATTGGGCTGTATCAATATTTTTGCGAGACTTCTTTTTGATCACCTTTTTTTGTCACCACAATTGTTTAAATGGGATATTTTTGAATAGAAATCCGCAAAGATACCGAATTAGAAACATTTTTTCTACGGGAGCGTGATTACAACGTGGAGTAGTAGAATTTTTAGATTTTCTGTAAACACATATACATACATCAAGTAATTAAATTATTATTTAGGAATAGATAATAAGTAATAATAAAACAAAATATAAATCCATATTTTTACCCTAGAACTGCCATTTAGCTCCCAGCTGGATGCCTCGTCTGGAACGAGTAATAGAATCCCTAACGCCAGAAACAACTCACAGAGATTTCCGCATCTGGTTGACTTCCACTCCATCCCCCCACTTTCCGGTATCTATTTTGCAAAATGGCAGCAAAATGACAATAGAACCACCTGCGGGACTTAAAGCCAATATGTTAAGAGCATACAGAAATGAAGTTTCCGAATTGACTTCGTTTATACAATCTGATAATCCAAAATCGCCGACGTTTAGATTGTTGGTGTTTTCATTATGTCTCTTTCATGGTATTTTATTGGAGAGACGAAAATTTGGACCATTAGGATTTAACATTCCCTATGAATTTACAGGTACCTGTAATAAATTTTAAAAATCTTAATAGTGTATTAAATACTTCTATTTGAATAAAATAATTATTCCTTTACACTATTTACTTCTTCTTATATTTCGCTTTTATATTACACTAATACGCATCACTATTTTGGGTATCTATTACGGGGCGTAGGAAATTTCGACACTAAGCAGGTAGCTACTAAAATTTAATGGCAATTTTCGACACCAGCCCCAATTCCCGTTTTTTTCTTACAGGTATATTCGACACCAAATAAATATAGCTGCGACATAAATAAAATACCATAATTAATTTATTTATTTATTTTAATAAAAGTAATGTGCATTTTATTTCTTTATAACTATAATAATATCTAAATATAATACAACTAGTACCTAATTTTTGTACATTTTACCGTTAATATACTTGTATACAATGATTTATTTGCTATTATAGGAATGATAAGATACAGCTTTTATAAAATCTAACCTACATATTTGTTGGGATCGTAGTTTATCCATCATTTTCTCCAAAAATGCCAATTTAGCCTTAACAGTAGTATCTTTGATTTTTGCTGGTATATGTAAACTATTTATTTTGACATTAGTGTCTACTTGAAATTCTTTTAACTTTTCAATAAAAATAAAAATAGAAGGATGTGTTGAATAAAAAGAAGAATTAAATCTCGAATGGAAGGATTCACAGGCATGTGTGGTCCTCGCAATAGACGGATTCTGATTAGACCATATGTGTGGTGGAAATAGAGCGCTATCGAAATGTAATTTTCCAGTAAATAATCTGCATATATATATATATATATATATATATATATATATATATATATATATATATATATCAAGTGTTGCGTTTTTTGGTTTATATGACATTAAATCATAAAGAAAAAGGTCGCCCAGTACAAACTTGGAAAAGATCCATCATGGAAGAGATAAGAAAACAAGGAAAGTCTTGGAATGAGGTGAAGGCCTTAGCGCAAAATAGAACCCGATGGCGCGTTTTCACTGAAGCTCTATGCTCCACTTAGGAGTTCAAGAACCTTATATATATATATATATATAAATCATAAAGAAAGCATTCTTCAAATTTTGCTGGATTTAAATAAGTTAAACCAAACGTATGCCTTAACCATTTTCCAATTTCTGAATTTGTATCCTTATATTCTTGTAAAAAACTCAAAGATTGAATTTTTTAAAACCAGTTTTGGTGTAAGTGAAAACGGCATCCACTAATTTTTGCATTGGGCCACATATACAATAAAGCACAGTGAATTTCTTTTTCAAAGTTCACAAATATTTCAGTTTACTCTAATAATTGAAATATTTCAAACATCTTAGACCTTAATAAAGAAAATAAATTTTTGTATGTCATTGACAATTTGTCCTTTAACAAACAGTATGCTAAAGGAACATAATGTCCATTTTCCAAGCCATGTATAGTAAATAATTGTAGAAAATATTTGGTACTGTATGAAAATGTACCATCCATATACAAAATTTTTAATTTACACAACAAACGAATATTTGTCTCGCATGAAAATACAATTACATTTAATTCAAGATGATTTAAAAACAAAAAACTTTCATTGCGACAGGTTTTAGGAGAATGATTACTAACCGCGTTATGGACTTCTGATATGCTTCTTGGTAACGGACCTGGTAACAGTTTACGACGACAGTTGTAAATGTTCTTTCTTATGCTAGCTATGTCAGGAACCGTCAGCAAATTGGCATCACACTCCGCAACAGCAGTTTTTGTAATTTTGGCAGGCTTTTCCGATATGTCCTCTTGGGCTTTTCTTTTACATGCATTGGTTACCATCTTTACTTCAAGCTTTTTTGGATCGGCTTCATGATTATGTACCAAATCACTTCTTGTGATGGTGAGGTCCTCACAGCCTATTGTAAACACTTTTGCGGAACACTTAGTGTTTCTTTGGATGCAGCGCCAAAATATCTCGCCGCTTTTTAACACTTTCTGTTTCGAGAACGGATGATGCTCCACCACTAATAAATCTCGACCACGGGAACTTTTTATCAAACTCATTTTTTAAATATCCGTAGTACACAAGTGCCACGCCCCCCGCCGTGACAATAAATATTGGGAAAACCCGCTTGTCCTGCTTGGGTGCAAATGTCCATCGCCGCTAATTACCTACCTACCTGCTTTACGCCGCGGTGTCGAAATTTCCTATAATAAAATTTGACCCTTCGATTACCCCAGGTACAAAGACAATTTGGTGTCGAAAGTTCGCCCGCCGCTATTACCCATTATATTTGTAAAACTTTCTTGGTGGTATATTTCTTTATTCACCATTTTTGCTTATAGTTTAGATTTTTAAAAACTACAAAAAAAATATAGGTAGATGAGGAGTGTGGTCCTGAACTTAGTTAATTGGGTACACCTAAAACTTGGTCTCGAAGGTTTTCATCGTTTTCCTATAGTAAATGTTTAAATTAATTATAAGAAACATGATCGGTTGTTTAGTTATTAGTAGTGATTTAATTATCCGTAAGTACTTTTATCAAAATATTTACGGTTTCATCAAAATTACAAATTTCAATCCAGTCATACAGTTTTGTTAATTAAAAAGTGTTTAACAATAACTTGTTTTTTTTTGGCTTACCTTCAATAAGTTAAAGACTTCATAATTAACACAGTGTCGTCCGAATAAATTACAACATAATTAAATGTAACAAGAAAATTAAAATAAAAAGTACTTAACAATTTTATCCGATATCCGGTACTTCTGACTACAGGGGTCCTGTAATGTTACCCGATCAACAAACACCATCTTACTCTTCATTTACTCAACAGAAAGCAGCTACATTATCTTCCAAGTAGCAAGCAATTATTATTCCAATAGTAGATGCACTAAAACTAGAAGACTACGTTGCAGCAGTAGGATCACTCGTACAGCCCAAAAATGTACTCTTTTCATCAAGAATTTCTAATAGCAGAATCTGCATCTACCTCTCCAGCAAAGAAGTAGTTGGCACCTTTTTAACAGATCAGGGAGGAATAAAACTAGGAGATAATGTCATTAGAACGAGAAGGTTAGTCATTTCTGCTAATAGATTGCTGTTGTCCAATGGTTGTCTGACTATTCCTCATCACATCATCGAGAAATATATTGCTGAGAAGGGCTTTCATCTACTTTTACCGATGTCTTTCTTAGGAGTGGGAATCCAACACCACCCTCAATATAGTCACGTCCTAAGCTTCCGTAGACAGGTGTACTAGACACCTGTCGACAATCTTGTCATTCCTGAATCAATTCTATTATCTATGCCATCAATCTGGTTATATAGTCTCAACATGTACCAATATGGCGATTCAGTCAAATACGTCCATACTTACATCCCAAACCGATCAAGAATCTATTCCTTCCTCCAATACGATAGCTGAAAGCAAAAATCGCTCTGTTCAGAATCAAGCGGAAAACACTTGTGAAGTAATGGACTGCCAAAAACTACATACAGATATTACCATACAGAAACGTTCTCATTCTGAAATATCGACACCACTTGGTGCACCAACGGCAGAAAACACAGAAATAGATTTTATAAAACCAAAAACAATATCAACAATAAAGTTAAAAGCCACTAAATCTGATACAAAAACTACAGAAATAGTTTCTACATAATCACTTTACTTAATACTCAATTTGGGTTTAGGAGTGGTTTGGGTACAAGAGAAGTCTTGTTTAGTATACAGATGCTAGTACAGAAATGCAGAGATATAAATCAAAATGTGTACATTTGTGCAGTCGATTTTGAAAAGGCTTTTGACAAAGTTCGACATAACAAAATGCTAGAAATATTGGAAACAGCTGGATTTTACAATAAAGATCTACGAATAATTACATATCTATACTGGCATCAAGTGGCAAGAATAAAGGTTGAACAAGAACTGTCGGATGAAATAAATATAAAAAGAGAAGTGAGACAACGCTGTATATTGTCGCCTTTACTTTTTAATTTATATTCGGAGGAAATATTTAAGGAAGCCTTAATGGAGACAACCGAAGGTATTACTGTGAATAGAGTAACCGTTAACAATATTAGATATGCCGACGATACCTTAGTCCTTGCTAATTGCGAAAAAGACCTTCAAAATCTAATGAACAAAATAAAACAGACTTGTGATCAGTATGGATTAAAACTCAACGTTAAGAAAACTAAATATATGATAGTTATCAAACAAAATTATATACAGGAAGACGGTATAAAAGTCGGAGATGCCACACTGGACAGAGTAGAAAAACTCGTGTATTTCGGCAGTAATATCAATGAGAGCTGGGATTCAACCGCAGAAATTAAAAGCCGAATAGAACAAGCCCGAGCTGCCTTTGTAAAAATGAGAAACGTACTTTGCAGTCACGATCTTAGCATTGACCTTAGAGCTCGAATGACATCTTGCTACATCTTTTCTGTCCTGCTGTATGGAGTGGAAGCGTGGACTCTAACTAAGGCTATGCTGAAAGCTGAAAATGAGGCTCTTCAAGAATATGATGTAGATATTGCCAGATTAGTACGATATGCTTATCCAACAGCTCCCGAACACATGATAGAAAAGTTAGCCGTTCAAACGTTTATTGATGGTCTTCGTGATCATGAAATGCAGAGAACACTGCAATTAGCTCGTCACAAGATGCTGGTTGATGTCTTATCCGCCGTCCTCGAATACGAGTCAGCTACGCAGGCTTCTAGCTGGTACAGTAAAGTTAGGACCGTAAAAGAAGATGAAGACAAACTTTAAAATAGACTAGCTCGTTAAAATGATGAAAAGCATGACACACAAGAAAACGAAGACCATAAGACCATCAGGAAAACTAGAACGGGTCGGTCTTAGGGGGGCAGCTTCGACCCAGAACTTTTCCAAAGACCCTCTCATACTAATAGCTTCTTTGAAATGTCGTGAAGATAGTGTATATGTAGATGGAGAAATAAATGGTAAAAAGCATACGTTGTTGGTGGATACCGGAGCGAACAGGACCATTATACACCCAACAGTTATATATAAGCCGTAAGAAACTATTACCAACGAGGTTGCGACTACGGACTGCTACGGGTGAAAATGCCAACATTCATGGAGAAATCCAGATACAATTAGGAATTGGAGCAGAAAAGTTCGTTATCCGAAATATCTGAAATAAACTTTAAATTAAGTTGTAAGTGTTATAAATATAGAACCTTTGATAAATAATAAAAAACAATAAATTAGAATTAATAAAGACTAAACAGTAGAAATGTTCAGACTTCTATCTATATATTATTTGTTTGTCCGATATCAGCAGTAATGTGATTTCTTCCTCGGAAATGAATTGGTGTGGTCTCTTATTCATTGAAGTACTTCTTCTTTGATCCTTTTTTGTTTTCCATGTCTCCCTCGTTAATCAGTTAATAAACAGCATTGCTTATCTTTCTTTTTAATTGTTGTAAAATAGTCCTATTGTTGATGGTTAATGTATTCTTAAAAAAAGTTTTACAAACTTGGAATACTTCTTTATCTTGGACTCTTATACTGAAGGTATATTTTAGATTTTTAGATCGATTCCTTATCTGTAGTTCTATATACTGCGTTATTTCAGAAATATGTGAATCAATAAAGCGTCTTTGCCTGTCAATTTTTTCATTTTTCAAGTGTCAACATTTTTCTTTTTTCAATTTTCTTGTTTGCTACATTGATAAACTCTTCTCCCAAATTTCGTTTTCTTTTCTTGATATTTTTTTTCTCAGTTTTCAGAATCACTTAATCATTTCCTGGTCAATTTTTTAGTTTGTAATAAATTTACATTTATAATATTGTCGTCAATGTCTACCTCTGAATTACTTGACATTAAAGGGGCATTCACATCATAATCTGCCGGCGGTACGTAATTTTTTCAACGATACTGTCGTCACTGTCTTCAACAATACTCCTCGCATCACCATCCTAGAACAGATGTTAAAAATGTAATTACATACGTAAAGTAAATTTTATATGCGAAATAGAAATAAAAAAAAGAAGGGCGAAGAAAATGTCGTTGAATTTGGATTCCGCAATTCCATGGGTACACGTAAAGCACTTTTCACCTTAGAAGTCCTACTTCAGCAATGCCGCGATGTCAGTTGTGATGTCTATATTGGTTTTATTGACTACGCCAAGGCATTTAACCGTTGTCAGCACCAGAAGATAATCACCGCCCTATAGAGAGTAGGATTGAATGAGAAGGACAGTCGTATCATCATGAATTTGTACTGGAACCAGCGTGCTCAAGTCAAGGTCGAAAACCAGCTGAATGACCAAGTGAAGATTATGCGAGGACTAAATTTTTACTGAAGCCCTCACAAACCTAGAGATGGGAATCCGAGTAAACGGTGAATACATCAATAATATCCGCTACGCTGATGACACTGTGTTACTAGCAACCAGCCTAAATAATCTACAAGTCTTAGTAGACCGAGTGAGAACTGTAAGCGTAACATAGGAACTAGACCCTAAATTTAAGAAAACTAAATTCATGGTTGTCAGCCGTGCAAATTTAGATCCCGGGGCACTAATGGCAGGTAGCGAAGAGATCCAGAGTGTCTACAGATTCACTTACCTCGGAACTGCTCTTAACTCACAATGGGACTACGCTTAAGAGATTAGTTTCAGAATTTAAATGGCATTTATCAAGTTGTGATCCTTGCTGTGCTGCAATGATCTCAGTTTGGGAACCAAGATGCGGATAGTGAGTTGCTACATTCTTTTAGTGTTACTATATGGAGTTGAAGCCTGGACACTGACGTAAGCCACAGAAAAGCAGATTGAATCCTTTGGGATATGAATCTACAAGAGGATACTAAAAATATCATGACAAAAGAAAAACAAGTGCTTAATTTAGTGAAACAACGTAAGATTAAGTACCTCGGCCACGTGATGCGTAACAAAGAAAAATATCGAATTTTTCAACTCGTTATGCAGGGTAAAGTATCTGGCAGGAGAGGACTGGTAGGCCGTCGTATCTCGTGGTTGAACAATGGTCCCACAATGGTTTTTGTTATGGTATTTTATTTAAAATCAAATTAAAATGTAAAAAAGAGACATCGAAAACAGGACGCAGTAGAAAAAAAAGCGGTTAACATTCTAAACTCTCTACTATGGTCTAAAGATATTAGACAAGAAACAAAATTGACAATCTATCGAACCTTGGTAGAGCCTATTATGACTTATGGGGCAGAAGTTTGGCAGATCACGAAAAAAGATAGAAAAAGAATAGAAGTGGTAGAAATGGATTTTCTAAGGAGATAGTGTGGTGTATCCAAAAAAGATCATATCAGAAGTGAAGATATTAGAAGGAGAACAAATACTGTATATTCCAGTGTAGACATAATTGAAACGAGACAACAAGTGTGGTATGGTCACGTGAAGCGAATTAATCAAGATAGATGGCCAAAGAAAGCTTTAAATTACATACCACAAAGAATAAGAAAAAGGAAAAGACCTTCAGTTGCCTGGGAAGAAAATGTACGACACCTAATGAGAGATAGAGCCATCAAAGAAGACGAATGGATGGATAGAGAACGATGGCGGTTGAAATGCGAGAAGCGACAGAAGCTGTAGGAACCTCGCTTATATATATATATATATATATATATATATATATATATATATATATATATATATATATATATATATATATATATGTTATTTAAAAACATAAATGATGCTGCTCACACTCAGTTTTTTTCCGAATATATTCTGGCTCAATATTTGAGGTAGGAGCAAAGTCTCTGTCTCAAAAATTTTCCTTATGTTTTTATTTCTTAACTAGAAAATTCTCTCAATTCTTAGCCTTTTCAGCCATCTCATCAGCCTTTGGTCTTACTAACTATTTCTGTTTCAACGAGATGGGATAAAATGTTTCCACACAGGTAGTGCTTAAGTAGTGCTTAAGCTATAATCCCCCGAAATATGCTCGTTCTTTGAGACACAACAAACTTTGAGAAAAAACATGAGAAAAAACACTTTCCTCCTATATCATGAATCCACACGGTACGATAGTATTACACTTGGGATTGGGAGCTCTATATTCACTGTTGTTGTAGCACACAGCTATGTATGATTTGCTCAATGAGCATGGTTTGTGTTTATGTGTAGGTCATGTTCAATCAAACAAATCTACAGAAAGAGTTAAAACTTCTCCATCACGCTTTTCATATTTATTAGAGCTTAAATTTTCATTTTACTTTATTTTGCCACATAATATTTTAATAAATAATCTGTTAAGCATTGTTATTGCAAACTTGCACCTCCCATACCCAGTTACACTCATGAAGTACTCTTAATAATAAAAGAAAATATTTTAACTATATTTTTTATTTTTTAGACGGTGACCTTAAAATCTGCATTTCACAATTACATATGTTTCTGTTGGAATACACAGAAATACCATTTAAAGTGCTCACCTATACTGCAGGAGAAATTAACTATGGTGGTAGAGTTACAGATGATTGGGATAGAAGATGTTTGATGAACACTTTAGCTGATTTTTACAAGAAAGAAGTCATCGTTCCAAACTATGTGTTTGATCAACAAGGATTCTACCATCAGGTATTTACAATTTATCTAAAATTTCAGATGATATACTGCCATAGTATAATAATAAGTCCATATTATAATGCAATTAAAAACAGAAAAAGTTTCAGCTTCTGTACAATTAATGTATACTCGTGGAGACAAAAAAATAGGTTTAAAGCAGAAACGACTTTTAATAAACCGAGTTTTATATAAACAATGTATATTCTGGTTTAGTAGCAATCTTACGCCTTCCGGTTGGTATCATTTAATGAGCGCTACCGAGACGTAACAACGAAAACAAGCCAAGAACAAAGACAGTCACAATTACAAAATCATTACCAATGAAATCAGAAAAAATAAAATAGAGACAAAACTAACTTACTACGAGGAAAAATGTAAAGAGATAGAGAATCTTCAGAACAAATACGACCTATTCAACATACATAAAAAGGTTAAAGAAATGGCAGGGTTTCTTTTTTCAAGGTTGAGTAGGAGGGGCTTGGGGTTGCTAACGGAAAGCAGCATCATGTATTACGCATCACTGTCGCTTTAAACCCCGCTCTGTGGTTCCAGTTAGTTAAAATTTAAAAAAGTCGTTATTAATCTGCGGTCTATATTCCCTATCATATTTCCTTAAAAAGTTTTTATGCAACTTGTGCCAAAACTTTATAGCCTGTGGAACTAGTCTTATATACTAATAATCTATAATTTAATTTTTAGATTCGCACAGATGCATTATTTGTCGACTACATCGATTACATAAAGACACTCCCTATTAACGATGATCCCGAGCTTTTCGGTCTTCATCCTAACGCCGACATTACGTTTGCGCAATCACAAACTTACGCTTGCTTATCCACATTATTACTGCTGCAACCGAAGCAAGTTGGAGGTGCAGCTGCTAGTCAAGAAGAAACAACAGCCAATACAGCTCGCTCAATTTTGGAGCAGATGCCTGATTTGTTCGATTTGGATAAGATTACCGAACGGTAAATTATTGTTTTATTAGTTTTTTAGATGATATAGTAAAGGCAATTTATTTTCGGATATTACGCATTATTAAGTGCGGTAAATAACACATTGATTATATTAAAACATATTGATTATATTAAAAAATAAACAGATAAATTGAGCCTCTTGGTTTAATTGACAGTATCCAAGGCGCCCAATGAATTGTTGGGTTATGTTTGACAACATCACTGGTGTAATTTGCTGCATTTCACTACGAATTATCTGTTTGAGATCTACCAAATTGCTAGGTAGGTTTACATATACCTTACTTTTCAAATAACCCTAAGTAGAAAAGTCCATGGGATATAAATCTGGCAGCAAGCGAAAGTGCTTTAAAGTAACGTCGGTGATTCAAGTACAAAAGAGAAATGCGTCAACAGGGAACAGCAAACAGCTGGTATTATGTGTCTGCGACGACAAGAGAGAAAATTTACTGGAAACACTTGATGAAAATATATGGATAAAGGTGAATTGAAATTACAGTTACCGCCGTTTGATGAACACAACCGTATGCAACAGGAACCACAAAGAAAATTAATTTAATTTTCGATATGCAGACCTACTAGGGATAAAAAAGAAGGGGAGTATTTGCCGGAGAGTGCCAAACGAAAATAGTACTTAATTGACAAGTCCGGTGTGGTCTTAGTTCATATATTTTTCTACTTTCTTCTAACTGAGAAAGTTATTTCATAGAAGAGCCATATCTCAGCTTGAACGAACTTCTTTGTTAGGAGGAAGAAGCTAACGAAAGATAATAAGAGAAAGGAACACCACTGTGATACATTTGGTTGTTGCGAACAGGAGTGACAAATCCCTCGTTGCTTAAGGGTTATTTCTAACGAATCTAGCAAAGTTCGTGGACATAGGCGGCGTAAAAGTAATTTTCTAAGCAGAATACTTAAGAAAATGTACACAAACATGCTTCAAGAGGAAGGTATGAAAACGTCCGTTCGCGTTGAACCCAGATAAGAGAGAGAGTGCTGCTAACGGCAGTCCTCAGTCGAGAGAGAAAGACCAGAAAGGCATTTCCACTCGATACGAAAATAAATCACAGAGGTTAAAAGGTAGTTCTTGATTGTGATTTTTGATATTGAGGTTAAGAATTATAATAATTAATACTGCGAAAAATATAATTTGGTTTTTCGCTTGTGAAAAATTGAACAGAGGATATAGCGAGTTTGCCCACATACGTTTACTATTTGTCTGATATGTGCAGATGTTAAATTCTAAAGATATATTTTATTATAATAAGCCTTAAACCTACTATCAAAAAACAATAAACAATGCGCTTTTAAGCTTAAATTCAATTTTTTTCTTCCTAGTTACCCCGTCTTGTATGAAGAATCATTGAATACGGTCATTATACAAGAAGCTATACGATACAACAAGCTATTGGTTGTTATACAACTGAGTTTGAACGATCTCTTGAAAGCACTCAAAGGTTTGGTAGTGATGTCAGAAGCGCTAGAAAAGATGTCATTGAGCTTATTCAGCAACATGGTCCCTGATATATGGGCTAGTAAAGCATATCCTTCTTTGAAACCTTTAGGTAAGTATTATTCGTCTACACTCATTGGCACGAAAAACTGAGCACTTGCATTTTTAAAATAAAATCTTAAAATTATAATTATCTTTAAACTTTTATTATTTTAATAACCTAAACACAAAAGAAACAAACTGTTTTAAGTAATTTCTAATAAGAATTAAGTTCTTATCCGAAAGAATGCATAAAAAAATTAGAAATAAAGAATACACTATTGTTATTATTTTTAAAAGTGCAAAAGTAGCTGTTGGTATTCTTTTGTTATGCTTTTATTCTTGTTGATGTAAGCAAACTGTCAAGTCAAATCAAGTGTCAAACACACTGTAAAGTTGCTTGCGTTGATTTAATCTCAAGAATTATGGTCGTAAATCCCGAAACAGCGGTTGCCTTTGTGCGTTGCTTTAAGACGGAAGAGGTGAGCGATATGTTGCTCAAAAGTATCAAATATCCAATAATACTGTGCACTGTATTTTAAAACGTTTCTTGGCAACTAAAACTTACACTAGTCCACCTGGAACCGTTCTGGTTCTACGAAGAACTAGTGCCCGTGATGATCGCTTTATCCTCTTACAAAGTCTACTAGATCGTCGTGCCAGGGCTGTACAAATCCGAAATCAACTTCAGTACGTCCAAAATACTAATGTAAGTGAACGAACAATTAGACGAAGACTTGTAGAAGCAAATTGAAGCAGTCGCAGACCTTCAACAGGCCTACAACTTCTCAGGCGCCATCGAGTTGTGTGGCTTCAGTTTGCCAGAAACTATTTTGGAGGACTACATTGGAAGAACGTTTTATTTACCGATGAGTCCAGGATTACCTTGCAGTCTCCAGATGGCCGTTAAAGAATTTGGCGAAGAGCCCATGAGCGTTTTGCTGAATGTACCTTCAGTCCTAGGGTAGGCTATCAAGGGGCTCAATTATAGTGTGGGTTGTAATTTATCTAGAGGAACGTAGAGAATTATACATCGTACCGAGAGGCACCATCACAGCTGTCAGGTACATTAATAACATTCTCCAAGATTTTGTTGTGCCTTACGCCGGTTTTGTTAAAAATTACTTTGTTCTGATGCATGCCAAGCCTAACAGTGCGAGAATCACTCAACAGTTTTTAAATGAAGCAAACGAAGTCATATTCCTGCCCCTTTAACCTTAAATCAGTTACAAGAAGTCTTGTTTGAGGAATGGGAATTTATTCTTCAACAGGACATTTCTCATTTGATTCTCCTCATGCCAAGGAGAAGAAATATAGCCGAAACTTGAAATAGTGAAAAGATTAGCAAAGATACAAGGGCTCTCATGGAAATACGACGAAACCTAAGCGAGAACGAAAAGGGAAAAAAAGAAGAATATAAAAAACTAAATAAAAGAATTTCAGCGGAAATTAGAAAAGATGTAAGAAGATATAATACTAATGTAATTACTCAAACAGTAAAAGAAAACAAAGGTTTAAAGATAATGAAAAGGAAACTTACGCAAAGTAAAAAAGAAATATACAAGCTGAGAGATAAAGACGGAAAGGCAACAACAGATAAACAAAATATTCTGAAACTAACTAGAGAATTTTATAAAGACCTCTATACCAGCCAAAGACCACAAGACAATTTCCTGACACGAGTAAAGACTCTCATAAATCAGGGATCGGAAATACTTTTACCCATTACTGTGTCAGAAGTAAGAACAGATTTAAAGGAAATGAAGAACCATCGATCGCCTGGTGATGATGGACTCGTTATCGAGGCAATAAAAGCAGGTGGAGAAATTTTATTAAAATCAGTAAGCGAACTGTTTACTAAATGCTTACATGCGGGTACGATTCCAAAAGACTGGAACAATGCGGTAATAGTCTTGTTACACAAAAAAGGCGATATTACTAAATTAGAAAATTATAGACCCATCAGCCTCTTGACACATATGTACAAACTCTTTATGAAAATCTTAACAAAGAGGCTAAAACCTAAACTTGATTTCTATCAGCCCAAAGAACAGGCAGGCTTCAGGGCAGGATATGGCACAAATGACCATTTGCATACTATAAAGATCTTAATAGAAAAGTGCATCGAGTACAACATACCACTGGTTCTTGCATTTGTCGATTACGAGAAGGCTTTTGATTTTGTAGAGTTTGAAACAATACTGGAAGCCCTAAATCAAAGCAGAATAGATTACAAGTACACGACACTAATCAAAAATATCTATCAGAACGCTACATCAAGTATACGACTGCACGAAGACACAGAAAGATTCAGCTTAGGTCGAGGAGTTAAACAAGGAGACAATATTTCACCAAAATTGTTCACGGCAGCTCTAGAGTCAATATTTAAGGGTACTCAACGGCAAAATATGGGCATCAATATAGATGGAGAAAGATTAAATCACCTAAGGTTTGCAGATGATGTTGTATTAATCGCAGATAACTTACATGATACAGTTTCTATGATGCATTCGCTTAAAAGTCTGTCTGAAAGAGCAGGATTAAAGATAAACTTTGAGAAAACTAAAATTATAACAAATCTCGTAATGAGTGGAAATATAACTATTGACAATAATACCATACAACAAACAGACACTTACAAATATCTGGGACACGAAATCAAAATAAGCAGAGACAATCAAACACATGAAATACAGAGGCGAATAGGTCTAACATGGGCAGCATTTGGCAAATTAAGCCATATTCTAAAAAGTTCAATTCCCATGTGTATCAAGCGAAAGGTTTATAATCAACTGTGTTTTACCTGTACAAACTTATGGAGCAGAGACTTTAACACTCACGCAAAAATCTGCGAATAAACTTAGAGTTACATAACGAGCCATGGAACGTGCAATGCTGAACGTGAGCCTTCGAGACCACATAACAAACCAACAAATCAGGCGAAGATCAGGAGTTCAAGACGTCATCGAAAGAACCACGACGCTTAAGTGGAACTGGGCAGAGCACTTAGCCAGAACACAAGATGGACGGTGGACAAGACGTATTATGGAATGGAGGCCCAGAAATTATAAAAGAAGCCGAGGATGACCACCGACTAGATGGACCGATGACATTAAACGTGTAGCGGGAAACTGGCTACATGCGGCCCAGTGTAGAGAACACTGGAAAGAACTGAGGGAGGCCTATGTTCAGCAGTGGACGCGATTGGCTGATTGGTGGTGAAGGAGGATTCAGGAAATAATTCGAGCACGTGGAGGAAACGGCGATTTTGTCCTCTCCTGGTGATTTTCTTTTTTTAATTTCCTTGATGCTTCCTTTACCTCTTCCTCTTCAATATTTATTTCTTTGTTTGTTGTCACCTCTGGTGTTGGTGGTTCATTGTCGTCACTTTTAGCAAATAGGGATCGAAAGTAGTCTACTAATGTTTCCTCCTGAATATGTTTCGTTTTTATTAGTTTGTTCATCTCTTTTCTTTGTCCTGAAGAAGTTGTGTTCCATCTGTTTTAATAAGCTCTGCCAGTATTCCCTTTTTATTTGTCTAACTTAAGTGTTATATAACTGGAAATATATGACATTAGGCAGCAGTAATGTCATTACTGGATTAAGGCTGTGGAAAGTAAAAATCCTGTAGGTTTATTCCAGATACTCACAGGCGTCACTCACATTATGAGTTAAGCGGCTGTGATACTGCGATGGGAAAGGCAACGGGAAACCACCCCATTATGATCCCTAGTAAAGTTATCATGGAATCAATGAGTGTAACGAATACTACTGATCATGGGCTGCGGAACTCAAGATCCTGCAGGGGAAGGAATACACAATCAAACCACAGGGCTTCCCAGGTCGCTAGCCAGCGAAATCCCTGTGAGGAAAACATCACTAGACATACGATGAAAATGAAGAATCCATACAAAGTGGCTACATGGAATGTAACAACCTTATATGAAGCCGGTAAGTTGAGAAATCTACTCTCTGAAATGGACAGATTAAACATTACTATCATGGGGGCGAGTGAAACAAGATGGCCAAACAAAGGGAATTTCAGTGCAAATGGTTACACCGTTTATTTTTCTGGAAATCAAGACCATATGCATCGAAATGGAGTAGCAATAATTATCAAACAGCATATTAATAAGTATGTCACTAACTTCATCCCAATATCAGACAGAGTAATTTTAATACAGCTGAATGCTAAACCTGTAAATATAAATATCATCCAAGTTTATGCTCCCACTGCTGACGCAGATGAGCAGAATATTGAAGAATTCTACCATCAAATAGAAGAAGTGCTAAAAATAACAAAGAAACACGAAGAAATAATAATTATGGGTGACTTTAACGCTAAAGTTGGACAGAGGATGACGAAGGGCATCACCGGAAAGTTTGGCTTGGGAGAGAGAAATCAAAGAGGTGAACGGCTAATAGAATTCTGCCAAGAAAATGACTTCGCCATTACAAATACCTTGTTTCAACTTCCAGAAAGGCGTCTTTACACGTGGAAATCCCCTCAAGATGGACATCAAGGCAGAATAGTACGGAATCAAATAGATTACATCCTAATAAACCACCGATTTCGAAACAATATTAAAGATGTAAAAACTTACCCCGGCGCTGACATAAACTCAAATCACAATTTACTCTGCTCCAAAATACAAATTAAATTGAAGAAATTAACAAAGCCAACTAAGCCTTGTAAGATATATCTCGACCCCCTGAAAAACCCTCAAACGCGCGAACACATAACACAGCAAATAAATAGTAAAATACACAGAATATCAAATATACCAAACGAAAACAGAACCATTAACGAATGCTGGTATGCCGTTCAAAACTTGATTTTAGAGAACGTACAAGAGTCTTTGAAAACACCTACCATGTTGGCAAAAAATGAGTGGATGACACAAGAAATTCTAGATCTGATGGAAGTTCGACGGCAACACAAAAATAGAAATATTATCGAATATCGTGAAATTAATAAACGCATAAAAAGAAAAATTAAGCAAGCCAAAGAATCCTGGCTTGAGAATTTATGTAAAGAAATAGAAGACCTCCAAAAAAAGCATGACAGCTTCAACCTGCATAAGAAACTTAAATATACTGCCGGAATTAGAAAACAGAAAAATGCTCACATACTTAAAAGCACGGACGGAAAAATGTGTGATCACGAACAACAGTGCAAAGAATGGGAGAGATACATTACTGACCTTTTTGACGATGCTTCTAGGGAAAATGCTCCAAATACTGCCTATGACAACCAGTTGGACAGTGGTCCCAATATACTGAATTCGGTAGTCGAAAAGGCAATACAGCAAGCCAAAAACAATAAAGCACCTGGACCAGATCAAATCCCTGCCGAACTACTTAAACTTTTGGATGAGGAAAGCATTGCCTGCTTAACCACTTTCTTCAACAAAATTTACAACGAAGGAAAAATACCAGATCATTGGTTAGAGTCACTGTTTATAACATTACCAAAGAAAAGCAGGCCCACCAAATGCAGCGATTTTAGACTACTCAGTTTGATGAGTCACACACTGAAGATACTCTTACGAATTATACAAAACCAAGTATTCCTTATATGCGAAAGTAAGATGGGTGATAAGCAATTTGGATTTAGAAACGGTCTAGGAACTAGAGAGGCACTATTCTGTATGCGCGTTCTATTACAAAAAAGTTGTAAATTTCGAAGGCGTTCGACAAAGTCCAACGCAATACACTTTTCGACTGCCTACGGGCAGCAGGACTTGACCACTATGATATAAGACTGCTGAAATACTTATATTACAATCAAGTAGCCTCTATCCAAATTGAAGACAGTCCCACTAAAAAAATACCCATCAAACGTGGAGTACGGCAGGGTTGTGTTTTGTCACCCACTCTTTTTAATCTGTACTCTGAAGAAATCTTTAGGGAGGCTTTGGATGACAGACAAGAGGGAGTAAGACTAGGTGGAGAAGTAATCAACAATATTAGATACGCTGACGATACAGCCATTCTTGCAGAAAGTTTACAAGATCTCCAAACATTACTAAATCTAGTCAGTGAAGCAAGTTATCGGAGAGGCCTAAAAATCAACATTTCAAAGACAAAGTGGATGGCAGTTGGAAAGATCCATATAGATCAAGGTCTGCTTTCTCTTAATGGAGAAGAGATAGAAAGGGTAAATCATTTCAAATACCTTGGCAGCTGGTTAAATGTAAATTGTGACTCTGATGAAGAGATAATATCCAGGATCGAAATATCACGTAAGGTTTTTATGACCTGGAAACCAGTTTTATGCAACAGAAACCTGTCAATGAACATTCGTAAGAAGGTCCTGAAATGTTATGTGTGGTCGATCCTATTGTATGGTTGTGAGACATGGACGTTAAAAACCACAATGCTAAACAAGTTAGAAGCATTCGAAATGTGGTGCTATAGACGAATCCTAAAGATATCGTGGGTTTCGCACACTTCCAATGAAGATGTTCTTCAAATGATCAACTCAGAACGTCTGCTCATAAACATCATAAAGAGGAGAAAAACAGAATACTTCGGCCATATAATTAGAGGACCCAAATACCATTTACTTCGCCTTATAATACAAGGAAAAGTGGAAGGAAAGAGATGGATTGGTCGAAAGAAACTTTCATGGCTGCGTAATATTAGACAATGGTGTGGTTTCACAGTAGAAGAATTATTTCGCGCAGCAGTCGACAGAGAAAGGTTTCAGGAAATTGTAAACATGATGACGGCCAACGTCTGAATACGGACACGGCACCCAAAGAAGAAGAAGGAAATATTCCCCAAAGCTGGTTAAAGTCGACCTTGTTAACTATAGCACACAAATTAAATGCAAAAACATTCGAAAATAAGGTTGCTATCTACATCTGCTGAGTTGAGGCATCTTACGTCGATTATTTTCGATGAATTTATACCTCTGTTGGTTATAACATAATATACTATAGATCTTTGTCCACGGCTGTTAAATGTATATTTCTGTTGGTCTTTGTGGTCAAAAAATGAGTTGTTCATTCCAAGTTCGCTATTCGTGCAGAAGTTGATCATCAGTTCTCCATTTTCGTTTTTAACATTCTCGTTATGTTTTTGCTTAATTCCGGCTATTACTTTATTGCCTATTGAAGTGTTAAAATCCTCCAATATTATTATCTTTTTTCTGACTTGATCTACTACTTGTTGTAATTGGTCATAAAAAGTTTCCCCTATTGTTTGAGGCTTTTTATTTTCTGGGTCATATACTCCGATGATGTCCAGGTTTTCCTTTTCCATTTTTATGTTTGCTGTTAGAATCATTTCTGATATATATTAATACTCTTTGATGTGATTTTGGTACCTTTGGTGTATTAGTAAGTCTACACCTTCTTTAGCCCTGTTTTGTTTTGCTACTCCACTATAGATTAGTATGTACCTATTCATCTAATTTTGATTGTCTTTTTACTTTCTTTTTTGTTGCCTGTATAGCACAAATGTCTATTTCTTTCTCTTTCAGCACCTGGGTTGTTTCTTGGTGCCTAGAGTTGAGTGATCTGATCTTCCAAGTAGTAATTCTCATCTAGGTGTTAGATATATTTCGCTTGTCCCTATTTCTTGCTGTTATCGTCTTCATAGTATCAATCCGGTTCCAAGGCTGTATTGTTTCTTTGAGCAGTATTCTTATCCAAAATGTTTAATCTCTTAAATCAAATATTTATTGTCAACACAAACTTTTAAGATTTTAATATGATAGACCAATACAGTGATGGTTCTCAATAAAAGTCAACTTTTTATTATGATTGGAAAGTAAAACAGCTTCATTTATTTACTAGTTATAGAAAATAGTTTTTAATTGATGATTGTTACTTTTAGGAGCATGGGTAGCTGATTTGAAGGCCAGAATAGAGTTTCTAAATAAGTGGAATCGCGAAGGAATACCACCTGTATTTTGGATATCTGGTTTCTATTTCCCTCAAGCGTTTCTTACAGGAACATTACAGAATTATGCGAGAAAATATGTTGTCTCTATAGATACCATCAATTTCTCATTTGAGGTAATATACTAAAAAACTTTATTGACTATACAAATACTTGAAACACATTATCAAATTATATTGACACGGGTCATCCTTGGCAACGTTATGTAACAACTGCACATAGCTATAGATGCAAGTAAAATACTGTATCTCGCATATCATAATTAGATGAAATCTAAATACATACTAAAAATTTGCCCTATTCTCGCTACCCATGAGCATTGATTATAAACTACTACCTAGATACCTCACTCTAAGGTAAAAACGAATTCAGTGTTAAACTCCGCCCACTTACACCTCTTTGCCCCTCACGCCTAAGTACTACCTGACTGTATGGTGGCGACATTCATTGAAATCTTTGCCAATATTGAAAAATAAATTTCAGTTCCCTGGTCCGGAAATTCTCTAGTGCATTAGAGGACGATATAAGGATGGCATTCAGCATTTTCACAAGTAATTTTAACGTGCTTGTAATCTACGTTATGAAATTAAGATTTTACTTCAGAAAAAACGCTAAAAATTGATTAATGAAAACAGTAAGGGTTTTCTAAAAATTATTTATTTATCAACACAATACAAAAAAATAACAAAATATAAAATACATAATAAAATTAGCAGTGATAAATTACATCTCATGTAAATTACTTTTTTGTAACTTTTCAAACAAATTAATTTCCAGAATTGATGCAAACTAAAATATTTCAAGCTAATATACAGAATTTATTTCCAGATTTAGTCCATTCACTCACGGTAAAATATTGCAAAACCTCAAAGTTTAAAGAATCGCTTGGATTGACATGAAATTTGGCTTACGCCTAGCTAGGATGTCAAAGGAAAAAAGATTATGCTTCTGCCCTATGGATCAGTATCACCCCTTATCGGGAGTGAAAAAATATATGTTTAAGATAAGTTCGGAAGTGCCTAAAATCAGTAATTCTAAGCAACTTTGGTTTTATAGAGGTTTTTCACTATGTCAATACTTCTTATCGAGTTATTGAAAAATGGGTTCTCATTCGTTAAATTCCATGTTGAATATTTCAACGTGAAATAATAAAAAACTGAAGCAGTTTTCGACGAAAACTCATTACAACTTTAAAGTGTTTTAAAAAGGTTTATTTTTGTTAAGTTTCTTGCATCAAGAGTATGCAAGTTATGACCAAAATATTCAGAAAAGCAAAACCTACGTTTTTGTACCCTTTGTGATTTTTGGTGTCACTAATAAATTTTAAGTTATTTTGAAAAAAATCATTTTTTTTTCAAAATTAAATGGAAATTGTTAAAAAATAAGTCCTTTAAACAAATGAAACTTACAGATCATTATAATAATAAAATAAAAACAATGACCAAGGTATTTATTAGAGAAATCAGGACACGCATTGAAATTGCAAGACAATCATTTATAAAAATGAAAAAAATGTTTGTTGATCGAGATCTTATCTAGTTTTGATGGGAAATGAGCCACAATTTTACTAAAAAATGGTTTTATTAACGTTTCGACGCCCAAATCGGGTGTCGTTGTCAAAATACAAAAATTATTAATGAATTAAACAAAACTGTTGTTGCTTAGTAAAAAAATTCTTCCAATAATTTATTTAATCAGACTCATTTATATTGGCAATTCAGACATATATTATACATTTTAAAGTAGAAGACTTTAAAATGATATTGCCAATATTTATGAGTTGCGTTCCTGGGACTATATTTATATTCTAGCGCGAGAATTTTACTGCCACCATTGCATGTGGTTGTCTACTTAAAAACATATAACATGTTATGATTTTTTTGTGGCGGATATTCTTGATTTGTTGTAGATTTCATATAATCGAATTAACTATCTTTCAACAAGTCGTCCCAGGAACGCAACTTGTAAATATTGGCAATGTCATTGCCAATATTTCATTATCTACTTTAAAATGTATAATATATGTCTGAATTGCCGATATAAATGAGAGATTAAATAAATTATTATAAGAATTTTTTTTTACTAAGCAGCATCATTTTTGTTTAATTCATTAATAATTTTTGTATTTTGACAACGACGCCCGATTTAAGCGTCGTTGTCAAAAACGTTAATAAAATCATTTTTCAGTAAAATTGTAGCTTATTTCCCATCAAGACTAGTTAATTGCAATAATACCACAAGAAAATAGCTTTAGAACAAAATGGAGATCTTCCTCTAGAGCTGAGGATAAGCGCATTAAGATGCTACGTGTTTCCGACTTTGATACATGGAATGGAAAGATATACGCTAAAAGTAGACAATATACAGAAGTTGGAAGCATTTGAGATGTGGTGCTATAGAGGAATTTTGAAAATACCTGGATCTAACGAGTTACAAATGCAAAAGTGTTAAGGTTACAATGTTACAAAAGGATTGCAAGGTGATAAAGAACATCAACACAAGAAAGCTAGGTCACATTACCGAAGGTGCGAAAAGCTTAAAATGCAATGTAAAATTAAGGGTAAAAGATCCATAGGTAGAAAAAGAATTTAATGGCTGAGAAACTTAAGAGAGTGATATAGTTGCAGCTCAATAGATCTTTTCAGAGCAGCCGCCAATAAAGTACGGATAGCTGTGGTGATGACCAACCTTCGATAGGAGAAGGAACTTCGACAAGAATAGGATATAAATTTTGTTCTAATAGTAACATTGTACTACAATAAATTGACAATTTATCTAGAAATGGCAATATAGAATTCAATTATATTCTGTGCAAAATAAGAAATTGTATAGAGGTGAACTAAAATCACTATGATCTACTGTTCGATCGCATACTTTTTACATTTAAAAAATTTCTGAGGACTTTCTGGAATTACGTCATCGAGGTTTTAAAAGCAAGTAGTGGTGAGTACCAAATGCAATCGATTTTGACTTTAACAAAATACCACAAATTACCAACGTTAAAAATGAATAAAGTAAGTACATATCTTGATAAAATGACAGGAAATTTCCAATACATAAATAGATGAGGGCCATCTGCCTAGGAACAATAGGTAAAAGCTGATAAACGGACAGGATTAGAAAGTTTAAAACATCACTAATTAGATCATATTTCAAAACAAAGTAAATAAGTATATTTGAATGTTAATTCTTTTCAAAATAAAATAAAATAAAAATGTCCTTTTTTTATAAAATTTCGCTATAACTTGTCACAACACTTCACACAGATAATACACTTATAGGGTAAGTTCGGCCCTGACACCACTCCTATCTCCTCGCAAGTCAGAGAGAGAATGAGAGTCTGGATACGGTTTTCGAGTAACGCCATCTAGTTTTTGATACGTCTTTCGGTTACCACGAGGTGAGCTCTCTAAGTAGTGGTTTATAATCAATGCCATGAGGTAGAGTTTGGAGGCGTGATCTCCACTAGGCGAGATACCACGTCTTTTAACGTGATATCTCCAGTAGGCCTAATCTACGGACAATTTTCAAGCGAGTAAATATTGAGCATAATTGTATATTAAAAAAGTTGTTTTAAACTACTGTTTTTTTTTTATATTCTTTTCTAATTCAGTATCGAAGTTGAATGTTTCCGAATGACATTTTGTAATAAAAATTTCACGTTACTTTCTTGTTCTGAAAGCTTTTTCATAAAAAAGAAACAGCAACATCTAAACGCACAGAAAAAAATTTAAGGGAGTGTGCTGCCATAAATCCTTCCAAACACAAACCTTTTATCACTTTTCCCAAAAAAAAAGTTTTTATTGAGTTATAGCCCTTTTCATTAACCTTTAACAAATTACGTGCAACTAAATAAATGGCTTAAATGAATTAACAACTACAAAACATGTCTATAACCTCTATAAATATGATATTACAATAAATGTTAAAAATGATCCTCATTTTCTTCAATACACATTCGGTATCGTTTTAATAAGGAAAACTTAATGCGTTGAAAAATCATATATTTCTGACGAAATTGATTTACAGCTTCAATTGTTGTTCGTCTTATATTGTTACAGAATACACTTTCTCTTTCATAAAGCCCCAAAGCAAGAGTCCATGAGGTGGAAATAGGTGCGTCACGACCCCTTCCAAGCCACCGACCAGGACATTTCCTGCAAAAGTATTCCTGGACGTCATTACTGTAATGCGGTGGAGCGCCATCTTGTAGAAACCACATACACTGCACTCCAAAATTAACGCATAATTTTAAAAACCCTGGTAAATCAAATAATTTTAACGTTTCGATTTTGGTGCTAATATATTATTGTTACCCCCGGTATATTGTAAAATTTATCGAAAGAACGGTAAAAAACGCTGATGTTTTTACCATTTTTTGCAAAAAAATTAAAAACATGCCAATTGTGCTGCATCTTATTTCGAATTTAGTTGAGTTGGATTACGTTGTGCTGAACGTTTAAGGGGGTTTTTCAAGTTTATTAAGTGTTTTTCTTTGAAATGAACCACTAGCAGCAAGAAAATCGAAATTTGTCAGAAAGTGACTGTTTTAGAATCGTTACTCTTCGCGAAAAAGGATACACTCAAGTAAAACTCGCTGAACGTTTTAACGTCACCCAGTCAACCATTTCAAGAGTGTTAACACGTTTTTCTGTTACTGGAATTAACTTGGGAAGACCCGGTCAAGGCCGTAGAAGGGTTACAACTTCTAATCAAGACCGGTTTTGACACTTCGTACACTGAGACAAAGATTTGTTATCAGTACTTTTCTACAAAATGAATTTTTTGGATCGTTATAACTTTAGAATCAGCCAAAATACGATTAGAAGAAGACTTGCAGAAAACGACCTACACCCTGGAAGGGCACCAATTGGCCCATTGTTGACCAGAGATCGTAGAAGACAAAGATTGCATTTTGCGTGTGAACATGTTGATTGGAATAATGACGATTGGGGAAGAATATTGTTCACCGATGAATCCGGGTACTGTCTTTTTTCTGATGACAGGAGAAACCGAGTGTGCAGAAGGCCTGGGGAACACTAAGCACAGTGAAACGCCGCAGGGACTGTACAGTATGGCAGCGGCTTGTTAATGGTGTGGGGTGGGATTAATTTAGAGGCTCGTGTGGAATTAGTTAGAATAGATCGCGGTCGGCTTACATCGCAGAGGTATATAACTGACAATTTAGAAGAGCATGCCATGCCATTTGCACCATTTATTGGGGATAATTTCATGCTTATGCAAGATAATGTCAGGCCATACACGGCAAGAATTGTGCAGCAGTATCGTCAGGAGGTTGGAATTCCTGCCATGGATTGGCCTGCAAGAAGTCCTCACCTCAACCCAATAGAACATGTTTGGGACATCATAGGCAGACGACTACGACAACTACCTAATGCACCAAATACATTAGGTGAGCTGTTTTTGCGGTTGGTTGAAATTTGGGATCAAATTGATCAAGAAGAAATCGAACGATTATTCTCAGTATGAGAGATCGTTGTCAAGCAGTAATAACTACCAGAGGAGGCAATACTCGATACTAGTACACGGTACTAGTATTTTATTCAACTTTAAAAATTTCAATTTCGTCATTAATTTATAATGTTGGTTTGTTTAGATCAGTTGTTTGTTTAGATGTTTAGATTTATGATATATTGTTAATTTCAATACATTTTTTGTAAAAAAATAAAAGTTTTTTATTAAGATATTCTAAAACAACCATAAAGCAGAAAAGAACAAACAAAAATATTTTTCATTATAACTCAAAATAAGAATTTTAAAATTATGCGTTAATTTTGGAGCGCGGTGTATTTTACCTTACTGCAATATTCACTTCTTCCAAATACTCTTGTAAACCGTTGCCAATAACTGCAAATAATTATCACCATTTAAATTGTTGGGAAGAAATACAGGGCTTATTAGATTGTTATCCACAATTCATGCCCAAACATTAACTTTGAAAGTCCTTTGGTGATGAGTCGTTTTTTTGGTGTTAGGATTTTCGTCGGCCCAAATGTGCTTGTTATGGTAGTTTCTTACTCCATTTCTACTGAAGGTAGCCTCGTCGGTAAACGGAATATTTCTAATAAAATTCACATTTCAAGTGTTTTTCATTAACAACCAATCGCAAAATCCAATCCTTTTAGGATAATCTTCCACCAATAACTTTTAAACCGTTGTTAAGTGATGAAAGAGTTGAAACAACTGATCCTTCAAACGCTTCTAAACCCTTACGAAAGGAACATTTAATTGAGCAGCTATTACCCTTGTACTTGTTACAGGGACTACTTCATGATTTCTAAAATATCTTCATCAGTTGCATCCGTTAGTGGACGACCACTATTGCTAGCAACTTGCGGTTGGAATGTATCCGTTTTCCGTAAACAACGATCAATGGTCAGAAATAATCGTCTATCAGGTGTATTTCAATTGGGGTGTTTTACTGCATAATGCCTTGCGGCTGCTGCACTATTTCCTTGACATTCACCTACGATATTCCCGTTAGCTTATGGAAATCATAATTTAATCTGATCCAACTTACCCAAAGTTAAATGCAAAGCTGACATTTCCTGAAATGTCTAGGCAATTGTAATATCAAAATTTTTAACATTAATCTTATTCGCACAATAAATGAAAGCTTTAAATTATTGACTATTATTTATGGAACTATTGATGTACAGTCGGTCCGCCGGATCTTTGCACATGCATGACATTATTCACGGTATATTTTTTATGCTACGTCTCTTTCCTACTCTACTTAAACCGCCTGTCCATACACAACACAATACATTGAACAAAGACAGCCATAGAACAATGATCGCTGATTGATTCGTCTACTGACAATTGACATGACAATTGGAAATTTTGTTTTGACAGAGTTTGTAATATTTTTATAAATTATTTTCGTTTGATTTAAATAATCAATCCTTTTTCATACTTTAAATATACATATTTTTGAACAAACAGTTGTTATAACGACTAACCCGTACCTTCGTGTTCAATTTATTAAGGTTAGAATTCATGTATTAGCTAATAACGAATAATATATTTTTTTAACCTCTAAATTGACATTAATCATTTAAATATAGCTAAAACTACGTCAACGGACAATATGAAATATTTTTAAAGGTTTTTATTTTTAGAGTATGCCAGTGAGTTTATTTTTCTAAGACTCTGAAGCTGAGTTTTTTTCTTTCTCAGAGTTCTGTGTTTTATTTATCCACAAGTAAATAAACCTTCAGGCATTATCTTTTTCAAGACAATGCCCAAAAAAGAGCGTTTCGGACTAACATCGCAATATTGTGCAATATTGCGCAATGTTAGATCATAGCATATTAGTAACTATAGGAAATGCACCAAGTTGCAATTATCGTATCATTTATTCCTATGCTAACTAATTCCGAAGACGACACTTGTCCATATGCAAATTTCTTGATTTTTATCTGTGACGATGTTTCTCTGTTGATTTCGCAGTTTGTTAGCTGTATTTAATTTCTAAAGATTAGCTGCTTGTTTATGCATTTTAAAACGTATCGTGTTTTTCTTCCAATGAATATATTTCTTCACACTGTGATTTTAACCAATTTTCTTTGGCCTTTCGTATTTGTGTTCTTATTTGTCTGTGAATATTATTGTACATTCTTTTGTTGTTCTTTGATTTTTTTCTTTTTTCCATGAGTTGCAGTATCTTGTCATTCATCTGACTGTTCTTTTTCTTTTTAATTATATTAGATATTCTTCTCTGATCTTTAAAAACGTCGCTTTTGTTTACTTACATTTTAGTCTTCTCATATCGCATTTTTGTTACTATTCTTTTTTGTAACCTTCTTAAATCTAAACCGATATTTACCAACAACAGGAACATCATCTGACGATATGTCAGCACCATATATTTGCTTATATTCAATAAAAATACTTTAATTTCTGATAACTATGGTTTAAATATTTATTTACTGTAGATGTTATTGGACAACCTATAGGTTTCCAAAAATTGGAAAATCACGTTCATAAATGTATACGTACCCAGTTTTCCAAATTTAATAAATGAAATAAAAAAGAAGTATAAAAACGTCAATTGTAATATTAGCCATTTTCTAATTTTTATAATAATTCTTATAGCCGACATACGTTTGAGTCTCATGTTTTGATTTATTTCCTATAATAAGAATAATGACGATGTGCAAAGATCCGGCGGATCGACTGTAATTATTGTATCCGTAGAAACTAATTGTAATTTTATGGCCAACTAGGAAAAAACTAGTTTTTCGAAAAAGTGATAAGAAGCAAAAAAGTTTTAAAAATATTATGTTAAACTAATGATGCCACAAAATTCATTTTATTTGAACGTACTCAAAAGTTTGGGGGGATTTAGGGTAGGGCTGCACATCCCTTAAAATTTTTCTGTGCGCTTAGATGTTGTTGTTTCTTTTGTATGAAAAATGCTTTTAGAACAAGAAAGTAAGGTGTCCATTTTTATTACAAATGTCAAGTTAATAAGGATATAATGCAACAAAACAATTTTTATTTTGTAACTTCAAAGGGCTGTAACTTTTTTTGTGTACACTTTTGTCGAGTGTCGAATAAGTTGAATTCAATCAATTTATTTTTGTCCCCGGTATGCGTGATTTAATTAATGACATACCTTTTTAAAAAATGTCTCCTGGTTTGCTTTTTTAAAACATTGGTTGTTTTGATACATAAATCTCCCAAAGTAAAGGTTACTTTCAAACGGAAGGCAACCTTTGTAATGTTTTTTATGCAAAATTTTGGCTGTTTGAATACTGAACGTTACTACCAGTCGATAGGTATTAATGAGAAGAATCCAGGAGAGTACATATCTCAAAACTGGAAAAATGGCGTTTTGGCGATTTTGATACTATACCTTATTCCATTAAGCGGTGCAGGGCATATAAACAACCATAAATTTAACAGATAATTGTTAAAGATGTTCCAAATGAGTCTACTCGTTCCGATAAGTAACAGTATAATTATGATACTTTATTATTTTTTTTCTTTTCTCAAATATTCGTGTTTATTGCATAGTAAATAAATTAATGTTATCACTGAATACAAAGTAAGTGAAAAAATACTCCGATTTATAAAATTAATGAATATTTTATGCATAAATGCAAGTAACAGTTCGTCAAAAATATTTAGAAACTAACCGGAATGTCCATCTTTATTTCGCCTGGCGATGTTATCGGCGGTTCATACCGGTTCGGACACGATTTAGTGTTTATATTTTCCTGCACCGCTTAATGAATTTTACTATAGGCAACTCATATATAGAAATCGGAAGATACAGAATGGTTAGATAATAAAGACTTAAAATAAGTTTATACAAAGAAAGTAACAAATATCAATCGTTTCTTTTAATTTTAGATATTGGACCATTTTCCTAAGAAGAGACCAAAAGATGGTTGTTCAATTTATGGTTTATACCTCGAAGGGGCAAGATGGAATGCCAATATTGATATTCTAGATGAATCTAATCCTAAAGAGTTGTATACAGGTACGTAGATTTCGGTTAAAGTTCTTATCCGCTTTTATGGTATTAAAAATAGGCTAGTATAATTTGGTATTATAAATAATGAAATAAAATATAAATAATGTTTACATAAATAAAACATTAAAGTTACACCAAAAAAAAAAGATCAAACATACAAAAAGTAAAGACAAAACTGAATGTTAAATCCCCATCTTTTTTGAGGTCTTTCCATGCTTCTTGTTGTTGTCCTTGGTCTTCATTCTAGAATTCTCCATGTCCACCTGTTGTTATGATATCGGGCTACGTGACCTGCCCAGCGCCATTCCATTTTTGTAATTTCTTCCACAATATCCCTAATCTGCGTTCTACGTCTTATCTCGGTGTTTCTAATCTTGTCTCTCAGTGATATTCCAAGTAAGATTCGTTCCATTGCTCTTTGCGTTGTTTGCGTTTTTGGTAAGGGCTACTGTCTCCAAGTCGTAGGTACAAACTGGCAGTATGCATGTGTTATACACCTTTTTCTTTAAGTTTACAGAAATGGAGGTGTTTATAGTTTATAGGAAGTGTATACAGTTTCTTAAAAATGTCTTCTCGAGCAAAAGTGAATAGTTTGGGAGAGATGGTGTCTCCTTATCTTACTCCCCGTTGTAGTCTCATGGGATTAGTTTCTTTGCTTTCGTCCTGCTTTATCTGCATTGTTGCATTTTCATATATGTTTTTAATTATGTTAGTGTATCTTGAATCTATACGTGCATTTTCTAGAGATTCAAGTACTGCCCATAATTCGATGCAATGGAATGCTTTATGGAAATCGACAAACGTCATATGAATTGGAACAAATTTGGTTTTGGCTTTAAAAACTAGGGTTATCAACGTGTCACACATAGAATTCAGGGACAAGGGACTAAAAAAGTTGAGATCCATTCTACAAGAGAATTCTTGTCCCATAGGACTGTTAAATAAACTCATTTTCGGTTCTCCTTTTCCTTCACAAGTTTCTGTCAACCAAAATTTTCATAACAATGAGATCCGACAAATGACATTGACATATAACGCATCAATATTAACATCTAAAATAACTTATGGTTGCCTACCCTACATTCCATTTCTGACACCTAAGCTAATGAACATCTTTAAAAATGTTAGTGGCTTAAAAATTACAATCAAAAATGTGAAAACAGTATCGAAGCTTTACACAAAAACAAAAGATCCTTTCATAATGCAGGAGTCATCGAATGTTGTTTATTCTATACCTTGTACTAATTGTAATAAAATTTACATAGGAGAATCATCTCGTAATTTTCACAGCAGGGTGATATAACATCGTAGTGATATAAAAACCAAAAAAATCAATGCATGTGCATTGACAGAACATGCACTAACTCTGAAACATGAATTCAATTTCGATGATTCCTGTATTTTGGCAAAAGAAAAGAACCTTTCAAAACGTGTTTTTTTTTGGAAATGTGCTTCATAAAATCTAGCACATCTTGCATCAACAAAAGGTCTGACATAAACAAATTAAGCAACATTTATTGTTATTTACTAGAAAAACACCAAAAATAAAATAAATATTTACCTGTGCATAAATTACACCTCTAAGTATAATATGTTGCATACGATTAAGACAGCTTTAAAAAGTATAGTCACCTAAGAAAGACCTCTAGTATTTCTTGAAAAGAAAGATAACATCAATTACACCTAATTACATATTAATTACAGTGTTTTTACTTTCCATTCTCTTTATGAGTTAATATACACCAGTAAAACATGTCATCAACCAAGTTTTACTATTTTTACAATAAATTTTAAAAATTTTATAATGTATTCTGTCCATAATTGTATATTTTAATGTGTGTTATAAATGTTGAGTGTCCATGCTTATATAAATAATCTCAACGACTAGTAAGTTACACTGAAGAATTGTGATATTTTTTAAATATTTACATATTTGTCTTATTACAGTGTCTTGAAAAAGGAATAAAACCATTCCGAAAGCTCGAGAAAAAAGTCAAAAGAGTGTTTTTTTTTAACATTCCGGCCAATTTTCTGACTGCAACCCTAACAAACTGTGTTATTTGTATATATATATATATATATATATATATATATATATATATATATATATTAGTTCTCTCCCAGTAAGTATTTGCCTTTTTTAAGACTTCCTCGTTTCTCACCCTATCTGTCCATGGTATACGGAACATTCTTCGCAACATCCACATTTCGAAGGCCTCCAACTTATTATTGGAAGGTACTCTTATCGTCCATTTTTTAATGCCGTATATATAACAATTTGGACCATACATAGCATTTAACCATCCTGTAGCAGAGATTGAAGGAAAGATTGCGGTTACATAGTAGCGGTTTAAATTTGATAAAAGCTTGTCTTGCTTGTTCGGTACGGCATTTTATTTCTTGTTGAGAATTCCATTGGTCATTCATCATCATTCCCAAGTATTTAAATGTTTCCACTTGATCCATTGGAGCACCATCTACTTGCAGTTATATTCTTAAAAGTGCGTTTGTTCTTATTGCATTGCATTTAGTTTTTCTAGCATTTATCTTCAAGCCATATATTTTTTAAATTGAAAAGAAAAAGACCGTAAGACTTGTACACACTTCTAAATAAGTCTAACTGGTAAGCTGGTTTTGTATGTTTTCAATAAAATTGATAGTGTGTAAAATAGTTTAATAATTAAGCTAAGTATACTTTCGACATAATAAATGTCATCATCAGAGCTATCCTAAAATAACGTTAAGTTAAGTAAATTTTTTATATAAAATACAATGATAGAAAAAACTTACGTCAATTAGGTAATAAATACTTCATAGAAGGACAATTGTGCACAAACGACATATTAAAATTCAAAGATCGGGCTCTGTAGGCCACAGATCTTGGGTCTAACCCTTATACATATGTATAATTCACATTTAAAAAGTTTTTATAAAAACATGGTTACCACATACAGTAACGACAACAGCTGTCTTTGATTACACTCAGGTTACACCCCTACTTTGGTTGATAACATACTCAACAAATTAAGGAATAAAAGGAATAGATCACTAACATACAACACTGTCCATAACATTTCTAACTCGACAGTTATTTATCGATCAATATCGTACTTAGGTTATCCCTCAGACAATATAGCTAGAATCTTAAAAAACATCCCTAATCTAAAACTTTCTTTCAAAGTTAAAGAAAATATCAAATCTATTTTTTCCCACACTAAAGACAAAATTAACAAATCGTCAAAAAGTGGTATTTATAAATTATCCTGTGGTGAATGCCCGGTGACCTATGTGGGTAGAACAATGCGACCTTTGGATATACGCATCAAAGAACATCTGTCTAAGATTGATAAATCTAGTTTTGGGAATCATATACATGCTTCAAAGCATGGCTTTAGTCCTCATAGAGATAGTAAGATCCTACACAGTATACCCAATAATAATTATATAAAAATGAATTTACTAGAAGATCTTGAAATCAGTAGAGAAATGAAAAGGAATCCTCAGAATTGTGTCAACACTCAAATTAATTTAAATTGTAAGTTTGATCCAATCTTTAAGAAGTTTCTTTAATAATACACTTAGTATAAAATTAACCATCATTTGATCAAGCATTGACCTTTATTTTTAAAAAAGAGATTTTAAAAAGAGAGAATTTCTTATACTTTCTTTCATTGATTTCATCTACATAGAGAATGTTTGATATTTTCTTCTTCATTATTTATTTTATTAATAATATCGATAATCAAGAATAGCTGTTGAACTCTTAACTTAGCAAATGATACTTCTCCTTGGTTGGTTTTCATCTACTTTCTTCTATTTGGTCAAACTTTAAAGTTTTGTTTTTTGATAATTTTGATAAATGTATATTTAAATCTTCACGTTAACTAATCAATTTAAAATATTTAAAATTTAAAATTCTACAGTAGCTAAAATTAATAATCATTAACCTTCAGACGTCATTTTAGACATTTTCAATTTTAATTAATAATTTAAATACAGAGGTCGCTCTAGGATTTATTTCCGTATATCCGAGCTTCCTATTTCATTTTCATTTTACTTCAAAAATGTAAGTCAAAGACAGCTGTTGTCGTTACTGTATGTGGTAACCATGTTTTTATAAAAACTTTTTAAATGTGAATTATACATATGTATAAGGGTTAGACCCAAGATCTGTGGCCTACAGAGCCCGATCTTTGAATTTTAATATGTCGTTTGTGCACAATTGTCCTTCTATGAAGTATTTATTACCTAATTGACGTAAGTTTTTTCTATCATTGTATTTTATATAAAAAATTTACTTAACTTAACGTTATTTTAGGATAGCTCTGATGATGACATTTATTATGTCGAAAGTATACTTAGCTTAATTATTAAACTATTTTACACACTATCAATTTTATTGAAAACATACAAAACCAGCTTACCAGTTAGATATATTTTTTATATATTATTCCTACGATGTTTATCTGATGACAATCTTAGGATATCCTAAGATATCCAATCCTAAGACTAAATCTATAGAATAATGATGCACTGTGAAAAGAACTCTATAATTTAATTAATGCATACAATATTTATATTTAACCAGACCAGTTAAGTGTAATACAATGGCCAACAAAAACAAAGCTTCTGCCTATAATTCATTCGATATGAGAGTTATTGATCATGATAACAGTGAAATATTGTTTGTATTTCAAAAACACATTCTTCTAATCAATATATTTGGCTTTTTAGAGATGCCAGTAGTTTGGCTTAAACCCGAAGAAAATCACGAGCTTCCTTCTGGCGTATATCAATGTCCAGTATACAAAACCTTAACCCGAGCTGGTGTCCTTTCAACCACTGGCCATTCCACTAATTATGTCCTAACCATTGAAATACCAAGCAGAAAACCCCAATCACACTGGATAAAGAGAGGAGTTGCTCTTATATGTGCCCTTGATTATTAATTTATTTTACATTGTATTAATTTTTTAATATTAAACTTTATTAAACAAGTCTTTAGTATAAAATTTTAGTATCATACTATAATATAATATCAAAATTATAGGTAATTAAGTCTGAGAAATGATAATTGGAAAACTGATTCCACAATGATAGTTGGAGATTTAAATAAGATGAGACAGAATCTGCTATATTAAGACTATTGTCGTCTCGGGGAGCTACGTCTTCTAAAATTGACTAATCGTCCCATACGCATGCTCAAAGGGGTTTCGTGTGTAGCATACGAATTATTCCTCGCACTTGTCCTTATTTAGGTAGGACGATATTATCGGGTGATGTATTAAACCAGCAAGCCTTGAAAAGACAGCTTAATCTCTTAATAGTTTATATGAGTAAAATAAAAACACGATTTGATGAAGAACAAGAGGCAGCCGCAGAGTCTCAGGTGATTTACACATAGTTTTGAAGCCAAATGACCAATGGGAAATTAAGTAAGGCGGGGCAACTGAGGTACTCTCTCCTCTTTTGGAAAATTCTGTGGCTGGGTAAATTTTATTCAGAAAATATAGAATACAAGTAAAAGATTAAATGTAAGTATAAAAAACGATGCAATTACAAGTAGAATATCTATATGGAATAAGTCCAAAATGTTCGAATACAGAGCACACCACTTCACAAAACTTCAAGAGAAGGTGGTGGTAACATCATTTCCGTCCTTAATCAGTATACCAGCTCTCTCGGCAGCTTTGTCTTTTTCTCGACAATTAGGTTCCCTTTTGAATTATCCATGGTGTTTCGTAGGCAAGTATGCTGGGCCTCCGTGGTGACGCGGACCACATAGTGGTAGGCCAGGTAGGGACTGTAGCTACTCTGGGATCTCCGTAACATTCAGGACTTCAAGCTTAAAAGAAGACCGGCTCGTCTAAGAGGCATCTGGTACACTGAAGTCATCAGGTCTGCTGAGGACCTCGATGACAAAGTGTTGTATTTTTATTCTAACCTCTGTCGTCTTGGATCCAGCATACGGTGACTCAGCAGTGTTGGCTTCTGTGTAGCAGCGTCTAAATGGGTTCGAAACTGGTTGGGCGCCATGTCGTCTCAAGGGGGACTAGACTTCTAAATTTGTCTCTTCGTACGCTCTGCAAAGGGGCTTTGTGTGTTGCATAGTAAGTATCTCTCGCACTTATCATTGTTTAGGTAGGTCAACAAGTCTTCATAAAGACTTGTTTGATTTCTTATATGTACAAATAAAAACATCATTTAATGAAAACCAAAAGGCAGAGTCGCAGAGTCTCAAATGGTACTATGAGACAGTGCCCAAACAGGAGTCCCCTTAAGAGTGTATGATACTCTACCAGAGGCCGTGAATGACTGTCCCTTGGCTTCTATCATTGTCTCGTTGGTTTTTTGCTATTTGTTTATTCTCTTAGTTGATGATTTTGTTGTCCTGTTATAGGTGAAACACCTCTTCAGGACCTTGTTTGATTTTTATTGGTGTTGCCTTTTGTCGCTGCTATTGGGCTCACCGGTGTGGTAAGCTTCGTAGCAGCGGTGGCTGGTGGCGATTAATCGGTCGTCGACAATAGACAGGTATAATTGTACAATGGAATCGGGAAACCACAGAAAACCGATCCCTCCGTGTCTAGCAAATGTGAGCATTTCGTGATTACGGCGGTAATAGAGTGGAGTTGTCTTCAGGATATCAATGTATTCATCGGGGAGTTTGTTGCTAACAAGGGTCAACAATTTGGTGGGTGGGAATGGGAGTTTGCGTTTAGTGAGATTGTTGAATACGTTGCCGAAGGACAGGTAGTTTTGATGATATTTTGGGCTCTAAAGTTTTGGCCACGAATGGTTTTGATTGTATAACTCCTGTTTAAAGAGGAGAGCCTCTCCTTGATAGGCTGAATGTTCGTCAGTTGATGAATGAGGGCGGAGGGGTAGTCATGTCGTTTGTCGTTTAGTCCACGCAGGATTCCCCGTTACAATCCCAGCAGTTTTTGTGTGAGGCGGTGGTTGAATAAGATATAAAGATTAGACCTATATTCAATCACCGGTCTGATAAATATCTTGTACGTCTGTATAAGTGTATGTGGGTGTGTCCGTATGAACTTACCACAGAGGGCATTGATTAAACCGACTCTGCTCCTAACCTTGTTACAGGCTACGGCCAGATCGACCCCCCAGTTAAGTGTTTCTGTAAAAACCATACCGAGGTACTTAATCTGGTTACGGAGTTGGAGTCAGTCGCCCCAGAGTCTGAGGTTGATTGTTCCGGCAATACTGTATGTAGTAAATCTGCTAGGATTGGGGTGTCCAAAGAGAATCATTTGAGTTTTATTAGAGTTAAGTGTTACTCTTCATCTCCCGCACCACCTGTCGACCAGGTCAAGGTGATTTTGAGCAAATCTAAGTAGTGAATTTGTGCTTCTTGCTGTTGTTACCAGGGCAGTATCGTCTGCAAAGAGTAAAGTGAGAGTGTGAGTGTATCGTGGGTTTGGGAAGTCGCTGTTGTATATGATGTATAGTATAGGGTACCAACACTGAACCTTGTTGAACTTCTGCTGTGGGAGTAAAAGAGGCTGAGAAATGACCTAGCATTTTTACCGTGATTGGAAAAGGAAGGCCTATGTTCAGTAGTTTCTTTTCCAGACCAGCATGCCAGACTTGGTCAAAGGCTTTTTGAACATCGAGAAAAATGCCTAGTGAAAGTTTGTCGTCGTTTAGACTTTCTCTAAAGCCGAATTGGAATGTTGGGATGATATTAGGTTCTGTGGTAAAGTCTACGAGTCTCTCCTTAAGAATCCTCTCGAACACCTTAGCCAAGATGTTTAATAGAGAAATCGGCCTATAAGAGTGTAGATCGGTCCTGGGTTCGCCTTTTTTCTGGAGCATAATTGTGTTGGCTTTTTTCCATGAGGATGGAAAGTAGCAGAGTCTGAGTGTGGCATCGGTGAGAGTTGTTTCACCCAGTACCTGTCAAGGTTGTCAGGTCCCGATTCATTTGATCTACCAATTTGACAGAAATGTTCGAAAGTTTGTTGATCCATAGGTACCATGATCGGATGTTTATGTGGTACCTGTGGATTGAAGGGGGTGGCGAGTCGTCTTGTTATTTCGCTGTTATGTTTGTTATGGGTCATCGACGGTGATTAAGGTGTTTTGTTAAGGTGTCCGCCTTGTGTTAATCTTAGTTGTTAATGGGATTGTTCACCACAAGATGAGAAGGGTTGTTGGTTTTCTGTTTAGTAAGGATTTTTAATTTGGTTCAGAACGCGTCGCCATTAATCAAGACTAGAGGTAGCTGCTTGCCATTGATTGGCTTACAGATTATTAACCTGTGTGTTTGATCACGTGGTTCTTGTCGAGCAGAGAAACATGTTGCTCTTTAAGTATTAAAATCTTTATCCAATGTCATCGACCTAGAGTCGCATTAGAATTTAAATTTTTAAACATGTAAAACCATATCTTGATTATTATTTTAGTGTTAGCTTTAATTACAAAAGAAAGCACTAAGGATGATCTGAATTAGATTAAAAACGTCCCGTTATGCACCTGTAAATTTTGGACGACACTTTTAAAAAAGTTTTTAAAAAATTAAACGTTTTATACCTAAATACAAATTGAAGTGTTTTACGTCTGTATAAATTTTTTGAAAATAAATATATCTAAAACCCAGATGTGGGGGTTAACAAATAATGTACTATTACGAATTAATAGTAATTAAATTAATAGGAACTATTCCTTCGATAGCTCTGGCAAGATAAATGAACTTTCACACATAGGTGCAAATAACAAATAATATCAAAATTTCAATGGTTGCAATAAACAATCAAAAACAATACAAAGATTAGGTAAAACTAGGTGAACTTACCGTACCGCTAATTACCAAGATTCACTACCATAAAAAACAAAAAACCAAACGACTTCAATATGAATGCATCGATGCACTAGTGGAGGGTTGCGTCTTTTTTTTTCAACGACTTACGCTCTTGTGTCTTATCAGGATGCATACCCAAGCGGTACCAATAGGGATCGTAGGAATACAGAAGGAGAACAAATGTCTTGATTAATTTATACAACCATATTTTAAACATTCTCCCCCCTTTAAAGGCCATAAGGTCTTTAAAAAACAAAACGAATTCTAAATAATATCATTACTTACAACAACCAAAACGATAATTAATACAAACAATTCCTATACAAATCTTAAACAAATATTTAAAACTTAAACTAAATAAAAAAATTAAATTTAAAATAGTGGTTTCGTCGTGTATCTATTTATAAAAGCCGAACAAAACAAAATCAGTAAAAAATGCTGACCATCTAATCTTCATCTATCGGCACGGGACAGATTCGGACAAGAGGCCGTTTTAAGGTTCCGGTGATCGTACGCACGGTAGCCACTCGAGCTACACCGTCTCTACCCTCATGTAATTCAACAAGACGCGCGAGAGGCCACTTACACGGAGAAAAATTATCCTCCTTTAAAACAACTAAGGTACCGATTTTAGGTACAAAACTAGGATCTAACCATTTGGACCTTTGTTGCAAGGTGTGCAAATATTCCTTTCGCCATCGAGCCCAAAAGTCTCTATGGATGCGCTGTAACAACTGCCATCTGGACAAACGATTGAAGGATACCTTCGAAAAATCAGGCACAGACAAAGAGGTCAAGGGTTCAAGAGTCAGGAAATGTCCTGGGGTCAAAGCATTGAGATCTTCAACATCATTGGTTAATGAGATGAGAGGGCGTGAATTTAAGACGGTTTTCTTATCGAGAGCACTCTCCATAAAGCTATTAAGCTGTCAATAAGCACTATGAAATTTAGTGCCATTATCACAAAATACTTGCGATACTCGACCTCTCCGAGCAACAAAACGTTGTAAAGCGGCCAAAAAAGCTTCCGCGGTCAAATCACTTGCTAATTCAAGATGTAAAGCCTTTGTAGCGCAACATACAAATAGACACAAATAGGCCTTTTGAGTTCTAACTCTCCTGTAA